TTTGAAATGACAACTACCCTTGTGGCCACTATTAACATTTGATTTTCTACTGATATTTAAAGGGCAATCAATCATAAAACATTCGTACCACACTTCACCTTATGTCACCCTATTTACCAAGAAAAACACATTAAATAAAGCCCGTTTCCTCTTGGCTGACCTTGCACATATTTATACTACTGGGGAGTGGCAATAATAACCATTTCAGCAAGCCATATCATGTCAAATATGACATTTCTACTTAGTAGCTTCTCGAGACAAAGAAAAAGGAACAACCTCGTTGCACTTAATGGCCATGTTAAGAAAAACCTAACAGTTTCAGCCATATTACAATAACACAGGTGCTCAGATGCCATTTCATCTGGTCCCTCTGCACTGCTGCCCCCTAGTGGTACAAACAGTACTGCATGTTTGAATCTTAAAGGGATAGTTCACCTAAAAATGAAAATTCTGTCATTAATTACTCAACCTCATGTTGTTCCAAACCCGTAAGACTTTCGTTCATCATCGGAACACAAATGAAGATATTTTGGATGAAATCTGAGAGCTTTCTGTCCCTCCTTTGACAGCTTTGCAACAGCCACTTTGACGCTTCAAAAAATTCATAAAGATTGTAAAACTACATGAATTGAGCGGTTTAGTCTGAATTTTCTAAAGAGACACGATCGCTTTATATGATGAACAGATTTAATTCAGGCTTTTATTCACATATTTGGAGCAACATGAGGGTGAGTAAGTAATGACAGAATTTTCATTTTTGGGTGAACTATCCCTTTAAATGTCACATTAGTTCATAGGTGCTTAATCCTTTTCTAGGACAAACCAAACGTCAAAGTTCAGTTCCAAACCTAATCAAACACACCTGAACCAACTAATTAAGATCTTCAGGAACCGGTTCAGACTAAAATGCATGTTTGAACTGTTTAAAGCAACATGCACTGACATATCTTCTAATATATGAGCGCCATTGTTTTGTCTCAAGGTGCACACCAGTAAAGTTTTTTGTCTAAGGCACATTTATAAAAGCTACTTAAATGTCCTAATTGAACTAAGACCTAATCCTGGCTTAATCTAAGCCCTGTTTATGAAACCAGGCAATTAAGTGTTGGAACCAAACTTTGCAGGAATGTAGCTCTTCAGTAACAGGATTGGGCATCCGTGCTCTAGCTAAAACCATTTGGTATACACTTGAGGACATTGTTCATCACCAAAAGACATCTTCAGTTGAGAAAGACCCTCATTGTATCTAATGAACTTTACACGTCATTTAAAAAAAAACAGAAATAAAACAGTAAAGTTAAAAATATTAAAAATTATTGTTTAAAATGTTTAGAAATTAGTAAAATTGCTAATAATTTTTGTGAAATCATTTTGTTTGAATTGAGAGCAAAGAACGCATGTAGAAAAGGCAAGCACAGATCATACTCCTCTTTTTAAAAATGCTTTATTAAACTACCTCTATAAATACAACAATGCCAAAAAGCCTTAAACAAACAATGCAAGAAAGAAAACAGTTCTAGTAGATCTTAAAAAAGGAAGAAGAATATTTTGGCAATAGCATTCATTATCTAAATGTCCTCAGCCGAGGTCACCTTGTCTTGTTCATTTGTTTTTTAGTAACAAAAAACAAGTCAAAAAAAAAAAAAAAAAAAAAAAAAACGCTACACATGTAGTGTTTTATGAAATGGTCGCAAAAGAAAGCATGTTTTGCCTATGAATGCATGATCAATTTGGTCCAGTATTGACACCATACTGGCAACTTATTGCCACTTTTATATATCCACACATTCGCATTAGTTTAGATGCATTGAACACTTTGGCAAAAAGGAAAAGTTTTTGTTGTTGTTAAACTCTCTAAAGCACATACGATGAGATGGAAAAGTCTTCTTAAAATATATTATAGCATTTCCTCTTACTTCATACACAAAAACAATGTACTGTATATATTAAATATCCTGACTGCTTCGCTCATAATAAAAGATTAGATAACAGACTACTGGGGATAGTTCACTTTTCTCAAAAACACACAGACATGCCATAACCGAGAGATACTGTCTTCGATGATGGCAGCAGTGTGCAAAAATGTGTCTCTAGCTTACGTGATGTGAACTGCATGGATTGTCGTTCTTTGTTTGGTTGTATATTGTGAAGCTATCCCCGTCTAAAAAGAAAAACAGGCTATACTTATTAAAACATCAACTCTGTTAGAACATGAAAGCATAATACAACATAAAGCAGCACTCTAACACTCAGAGCCCCCATAGACACAACAGTACAAAACAAAAAAGAAGAAAAACTTGACTTTCTGAAAGAAAAATAGGAGAGAAGAGGCACCGTGGTATTACAAACAGTGTTTAAGAGGTCACTTGGCAGACAGCAGTCTGAATAAAGGCACGTGACATACGCAGTCCTACAGAAGGCATAGTGGTGGCATACAACATTCTTCAAGAGGACATTGATATTACATACAGCAGTCATTGAAAAGGCAATGAGGATATTAACAGGTTCTCTGAGCTCCCTGGTTTCAGTTTGGTCCAGTTTATTCCAGTTCTAGGAGTATCGCAATACCCCTAAAAAAACAAAAGTGCCTGCTCAAACACATATTATAAAGCACATACAGTACATACACAAGAACTTCTAAACCCCCAAAAATGTTTAAGTGCACCTCAGAACAGTCATCTTTACTAGCACATACCGTACTACAGTAGCTACACAATATGGAGTGTGATCTATAAAACTACTAAAGAAAACAAACTATGAAACTCTATGGCCTGTCAGCTGTGTCTACACGCATCTATAGGAGGAATTATGATCGGGAGAATGAGAGAATCATGCCATTAACCTGATATTGTCCCGCAACTCAAGACCGTTAATAAACAACATCAACACATTTGGTTCAGCGGTAAATGGAACAGTACTTCAGGTGCAGTTTGTATTAATGGCACAAAAGCGGATATAAGGGAGCCTGTGTTCTCCCAATGATGCACAGGACTGGATGCTGGGAATCACAGTAGTGTTCTGAAAAACTAAGGGCTGCTCACAGTTGGTCATCAACTATTAACTAAAACACAACCAGCACAAGTAAGCAGAACTAAAGGCCCGTTCTCACGAAGGACGACAACTATACCGATTTCAAAATGGATGGAGTTTAAAAAAAATCTCTACATTTAAAAGAATAGCAGTCCACATCACAACACAAAGGAAGTTTTTTTCCAGCTGATGAAAACATTGACAGCCAATCAGAATCCATCCTTCTTTAAAGAGCTTGAGCATTTAAAGTGGCAGACGACATAACTGCGCACATACAGTTAATTGTTCTTGGTGTGAACGGACCTTAAGTCATCATAAATGGTGCTGTATCCTCAACCCAGCTACTTTTTTGTCAGTCCAGTTTGTGCTTTCAAAACATTTTAATAGTTTAAACAAAAATGAAAATTCTGAAAATCATTGCAAATCATTTACTCACCCTCATGTCTTTCCAAACCTGTACCAAAATGTTATTGGTTCCCACTTCCATTGTATGAAAGAAAGAAAAAAAAACACTGGCAGACGCTTTTGTCCAAAGCGATCAATCTGCATCCATTAATTCATGGATTCCAGGAAATCGAACCCATAACCTTGGCATTGCTAGCGTCACACTACAGTTTTAGACAGGAATACTGTATTTCTCAAAATATCTTCTCTTATGTTCCATAGAAAAAGAGAAAGTCATACAGTGTTGGAATGACATGAAGGTGCATAAATGATGACAGAATTTTCATTTTTGGGTGATCTGTTCCTTTAACAGAGAACAAATGTTATCCAGCATAGATTCAACTGACTTTTTTTCTTTTTCCAGTTTGCTTTTTCTTGAAAACTCAAACTTATTTTGCCTCTGAGAAGGAAAACAGTGTTTGTCTATCTTCCAGTTTAGAAAAGAAAAAAATAACCTCTAGACAATAAAAACAACATCTGAAAAGTCTTCAAGCCAACTAAATAGTACAAACTTAAAATAATCTAAATATAAAAATGCATAAGCAATAAACAGTAAAGGAGGAAAAATGAATGCAGGACTCACGTGCAGAAAACCCATCTTCAAAATATTTCGCAAATATATGTTATACTCAAAATACAGCATTTTCATGAAACACTTTAAATCTTCTACTTCTGTGGTTGTTGAAGTTTCTGCTCAGCAGTATTTTTTGTTCATTTACAGTTTTTTTGTCAATTTCGTTTTTCTTCACAAAACAAAAGTAAATGCACTAAAGCATAGAGAGGCATTAGTTACACTAATACTACAACGCTCCTTCGGTATTCTTGTGGCCGTGAACGCAGAGGAGTGGTATTAGGATTGTGCGATGACATAACCGCTCTGGCTCACGATTCTCAGCTGGAGTGTGTGGGGAAGATATGTCAGGTGATATGTCAGTAGGTGTGCTTCTGCAAGTCTTAAATGCTCGGTTTTGAATTTCTTCATATGAACATATCACTCGGAGTCAGTCCGCCCAGTACTGGTGATCAACTAATAAACAACACCTTTGCAGAATGATAAAATAGGATCATGATGTCATTCATTCAGTCGTGTGATGGCTTTGGAAATCAGCAAGTGTGGTCAAGTCCTTTAAGAAGTCGAACTGACAGACTGATTCCTATTGGTCTAAAGGGAAAGTGGGCAAGGTTCTGGTCACATTGCAGGGGTTTGAGTCCACAACATATAACACAAATGTCTACCTATCCTAGTTAGCTAATCAGTAGCATATAAAAGTGGTTTTGGTCTAGATTAATAAATGTGGGCCAGAGGGTCTGATGAAGCTGTGAGTAAATTTAGCAGAAATCTACATCCTTGCTGCCAGCGTTAACTTGTACACAAATCTAAAGGCTTCCAGGGAGCTTCACACGAGTCATAAGGTGTTAGTTTTGTTGTGAGTATGTCAGTTTCACTCTGCGTGCTTCAGTTAACCAGCAGACTTCATAGATGCAGCGTAAATGTCTGATGGCCTGTGATGATGTGGTGTGTGTATAATTGTAAGTCGTTGTGATTGATGCTGCGGGTATCTCAGTAGGTCTGGTATATATCATGGATGGGCATCTGGAAGGTGGCAGTGGCAGGGAAGGCCTGAGGCATGTACCCAGCGTACCCTCCATAGGTTGCGGCAGCCATCGCAGCGTTCTTCTGCAGCGCTGCCAGCGTGGCGGTGTTGGCGTGGGTGGCGAAAGGCATGTACCCAGCCCCATACAGACTGGCAGCTGTAGCCGGGATCCTCTGGACATTATGAGCCATAGCATAGATGGGAGTTATAGGTCGCCCCTATGAGATAGAGAGAGATAGATTGTTAACAGTTTCCCAGACAGCCTTTACTAAAAAAAAAGTTGCCAGTCAGCGTCAACATTTTTGATCATTTGCACAAAACTCTTGTGTACAATATATGAAAAGAAAGAATATATTAAAAAGAAAAGCCTCTGCTCCACAACAACAACAAAATTTGATTCTAGCTTTTAATCTTTTCTAGTTCACCATGTATCACTCTTGTTCAAGTTGGCCATGCGAATTTGCCACAGTGACCATGCTTTACACAGAGTCCTAACTAGATGCGATAAAGCAACAAGAAATAAAGGCTATAATCTGAGTTTTTGACAACGAGCTAAATTTGCACATTATTAAAGTTCTTATTATGTTATATGTTTGCTTACATATCATGAATGTATGAGCACAAGATCCATACAGCTTTCTATACAGATGTGAAGGCAATAAATTGCATTTTTACTAGACATTGTGTATTTTTGATCTGTATTGTCATTATTTTTCTGATATTTTACAAATTCCATTTTCTTTGCTTTAGACTTATAATAGTCTTTTAACATATGGTGAATTCTTGCATTACGGGCTATATCATTTTATGCTTGTCTAATTGGCGTCCGTTTAATTAATGAGTCGGAACTTTAAATGAACAGGGAGTTAAATTGGAATTTGAATAGGAATTAAAGTAAGTAAAATATAAAGGCCTTTAAACCATTCAAAATTAAAAACTTATTTTGCTTTCAGAGAAGGCTTTCAAAGTTCTTTTGACTTGCTTTTCTAGTTAAAAATGAGCTAACACTTTATTTTGATGGTCCCTTTTGAGCATTCTGTTGACTAAAAGTAGCTTTGTAACTACATGTCAATTAATCTCTCTGATTAGAATATTAGTTGACTGTCAGCTTAATATCTGCTAACTCTTTCTTGCTGTCAACAGAATGTGTTAAAGGGACCATCAAAATAAACCAAAACCAAAAAGGTCACTTAATGCAGTTACATCAATCTCTTTGAATTACAGGTCATTTTAATTCTACTTCCTTTAATTCAAATTCCAATATTTCTAATTGTGCAATTTAAATTCAAGTCTCATGAAAGCAGTATCAGAGGAATCTTGAAGTGCAAGAAAACACTAACGCTCCAGGCATTTTCATTGGCTGTTAATGTGGCATGTAGCACAGCATTTTCACTTGAGATGTGGACATACAAATGTGCTCATGGTATTAGAGTTATCTAAGAGTTATAATGGTGAGGTGCAGGTCAGTACCTGGAAAGGGGGTGGTGTGGAGACTGCAGGCATGACCGCTGCACTGGCCGAGGCAGCTGTGGGGTCATGCTGGAGGGCCAAAGGGTTTATCAGGTGCTCCACTGCGTGCATCTTTCCTTCCTCCATTAACTTATTTGCTGGAGCAGCAGAAAACACAGTAGGGTACTGGGCACCAAGTGCTGGAAGACCCACTACACACACACACGCGTTCAATTAGAACAATGGCAAAAATATGGAGAATGTATGGTTTAAATGAGCACATATTGTAAATCACTATGTAACATATGTAGAAATGCAGGTAAGTGAAAGATAAGTCAGAAAGTGCAAGAATGATAAAGGGTAAATGCAGGCAAAAGACTGAGACTTGCACAACCTGTCCTCATTTACAACAAGTGTATGACTCAGCTTAAGATTAGCGACAAAAAAAACACACCCACACGCAGCCACGTACACATTGTCTTTCACACACACACACACACACACACACACACACACACACACTGTTTCCATGCACAAAAACTCTTTTCATTCGCCACGTTAATTCAGACTTAGGATCAGTAGGTTTAGGTGACGTCAGAATACTCCAGTCAGGAGTTTTCTGATCTCAGATCAGAATTCTGCAGGATCAGTTAATTTCGACAGAGCAGCTGATTAGTAAGAAAATAAAGAACCTTGAACTCAATGCCCAAACAAACTCAAATACTCTCAAAGTATTTTTATTGATGGCTTAGGTCTCTGGAACGTTTGATCCTATTGTCCTTAATAATGGTCTTTTCAAATGGCTGTATGTTGATTTTATCAGGAGGTATATAACATTTCGAGAGTTTTTGTGCATTGTTTGAACATTGTGTATATAATTGAAAAAAGTGAAGCTTTTAAGCAATAAAAAAAAAAAAATCAAAAGCCTGCTTACTGGGGTAAGCAGTGACAGCTATGGCAACTGTCATAATAAAAGGAAGTTGGTGTTCCTCTCCAGACCAGTAGGGGCAGTAATGTGTCTTACAAATGTATCTCTACATTTTGTTGAATAACTCCAATTTAATTGATTGTGATTTTTTTTTAACGTAAGAGTTGAATGTGAAACTTACTGGTGGGCTCAATTTCAGTAATAACATTTATAAATGATCCAGAAACCTTTTTTTCTAAATGATTCTGTTTCCAGATCGTTTTAGATTCTGCCTCCACTGGATGGACAAGAGCACAACCGAGTTAAATTCTGTATGTATGTGGTTTAATTTCACACTGACTTGTGCCAGGCTTCATGCCCACTTGGTTCACAGCTGTCAGCTCTAGATTGGGCATGATCTCGTAAGGTTTGTCCATCAATTTGGGTTTTCCTTCATGGTAGCGGCTGTATATGCCTCGGCCAGCTGAATAGCCACCAAGGTATGAGCCGCGGGGCCCTGGGCCCCTATTACCGGCCCCAGCACGACCACGACCTCTTACAGTACCTGCTTGAGATACAAATGAAAGGAGGTGCTGTTCAGGTACAGAGCCACAAGGAGGCACATACCTATATAAAATTACTGGTGGTAACCCCAGTGCTTAAGGCTGAGCAGACATTTAAAATAAAGTAATTAGCTTTCTATTCAGATTCTATATATTTGCTAAAAGGTTTGCTCGCATGGGGTGACGTCATGATCAAGATATGAGTGCGGAATATAGATTAGGCTCTATCACTTTTCAGCATTCTAATTCAAATTGCTGTCAGTGTGAACACCTCTTTGTAATTTCCTTCTGTTCTTTGAGATGGGAGTGGTGCTTGAGTAAAGTTGAAACGAAAAGTAAAGATAAAGTTTTGTTTTCATATAATCAGATAATGGATGAGCAAATATGTCTCGGATTGAATATGCAATCACAATTCTCAATTGCTACCCAACCCAAAACCACAAGCATTTATAATTGATGATTATGGGTTAGGAAAATGTAACAACACCAGATTCCCATCATTAGTTTCAGCATCATACTTATTGTGGATCTCAGCTCTTCAGCCCAAAACAATCTCAAAGTGCATGCCATCTAGTGGCCATACTAAATATGTGATTAGCAACAAACAGGGCAGAGCTTTTGTTTGGAAAATTGTCTTTTAAAGGAGTCGTTCTCAACTGGTTTTGCTTCTGGATTTTACATTGGATATCAAAGCAGCTACAGTACCAAACTTGTTTATCGAAGAAAAGTAAACAAATTTCCTTATATCTCCATGAACTAATACGCAACATTATTAACATGAATATCTCTTGGAAGTCAATAACTGACAGCTCAAAATAAATTTTTATCTTCATTACATTTAAGTTAAGGTATGAGTACTGTATTGAGTCAAAACATACTTAAAAAAAGCATAATGTTCCACTTTTAAATGTACATAAGTGTTAAATATGGCTTGGCTTGGTAGCTCAGAACGATGGACAGAAATATATATAATTCTCTTAGAAATGTAATTGAGTAAGCAAATGTAATCGCTGTCACAAATTCCCCCCAAAATATGTAAATGGTAATTAAGTATAATTATTTAAGTACTTTACAACCCTGAATGCAATCTGTTTTTTGTTCTTTTTTTTACCTTGCGTAGTTCATGGGTTTTGATTTTTATGGTTTCTAGCATTGTTTTTCTCCAACCGGTTGAGAACCACTATTTTAAAGGATGAGACTTATGAAAGCTCTGGGTTAAAGGGGACATCATTTTCACATTCATTGTAATTCATCCCCTACATTTGTTTGTACAGATCAAGTCTGGTTACTTGTGTGAATATGGACTGTTATGCAAGAGAGAGTTGGAAAACAATCTAATTTCCCAAATATATTCAATAGCACGACACTTAAGGTCGTCAAGAAAAAGCAATTGTTAGCAATGTTTTCAGGTCATTTTGATTTCATCAAATGGTATTGCATTTCTTGAGTTCATAAAGTTATTGATCTTAGAGAATAAAGAGAGAGAATGAGTTCTCCAACCTTTGATGAAGTAGTCTCGGTTGGGTCCAATGAGTGTGCTGTATGGATAGCCGTAATAGGCGAGTGTATATGGATCACACTGATACACAAAACTTTGTTGGGTGTTGTCGGGAGTTGTCGCAGGCGCTGTTCCCTTCGATGCTTTCTGATAGCGAGTGTACTGCTCCTTATCCACAGGCTTGGCCAGGGTCACTTCGATACGGGAACCTTCAATCTCTGTGCCGTTCAGGTTGTCCATTGCAACCACAGCATCTTCTCGACTGGCGAAGTGAACAAAGGCGTAGTCTCGGATTTTTTTGACACGTTCCACACAGCCAGGGTTGTACTGGCCAAAGGTTTGGCGTAGAGTCTCCTCACTGGTCTCTATCATCAGGTTCCGCACATACAGAATTTTCACTGTTTCCATGACGTCCTCGTCAACGTCAATCTCAGGTTCTGCCCAGTCAACTGCAATCTGGTGACCCCACAGCTGGATACACGCACATGGAGAAACCGAAAAACATATACACACAAATAAGTAAGGCAGGAGTACTGACTAAATGTCATAGATAGAGAATAGTTTTGCCCCCAAATTTATGCCATTATGTATTTATCCTCATGTCATTCCAAACCCCTATGCTGTTATACACCCCAACCCAAAGGAACACACTTTTAAAATATCTTCACACATCTATTTTCCAATGCAACAACAGAATATCTGTAAAGCTTCAAAAAGCACATCATGATAAGAGCACCGTAAAAGCAGTAGATAAGACTTATGAGCAAAGTCTTCTGAAGCCATGTGATGAACAAAGCAAAACTATAGCCACTAATAGAACTAATCTTCTACCAAAACACTGCAACCAAATCACTCAGTTTCCTCGAGTCAGTGAACTCAGAATCGGATCAGTCCTATTTGTTATTGAAAAGAATTGTCTCAAAACGACGATTTTTTTGATGGATTTGACTGAGTCTAAACTCAATGACGCATTGATTCAGTTAACAGCTCACCGGGTGAGAGAATTATTAGTGAAAAAGAAATAAAATTGATCATATGGCTTCAGAAGACGTGGAAAAGAGCACACAAGTCATATGGAATACTTTTATAATGCTTTATGTCATGTTTTAGAGCTTAGCAGATGTGGTCTATGACTTTTGTTGTATGGAAAACAGCTGATCAATTCCTTTATACCCAATGGAAAATGGTGTTAACCTGAATTCGTCCTGGCATGAGCTTTCTTCTGGCCATAGCAGCAGCACGGTGAGACTCATACTCTACAAAGGCAAAGCCACGATTCTTCATCTTATCCGCAGCACTCGCGTACACGATCACATCCAGCACCCCCTCTGTCACCTTGGAAACTTCCTCCAGGATCTCCTCACGTTTCTTGGTTTTTGGGATTCCGCCAATGAAGAGGCGGCAGTTATCTACACTACAGCACACACCTAGCAACCTTCCTGGACGAATTTCGAAGTTATTGAGATCACGAACCGCTCGCTTGGCCTCATGCTTCTGCGTGTACATGACGAATGCGTAACCACGGTTCTTCCCATCAAAGTCCATCATAAGGCGCATCTCGTAGATCCTTCCAACAGTCTCAAATACTGGCACCAGCTCGTCTTCGTAAACGTCACGTGGGATTTTACCTACAAAGATTTCACAGCCACGTGGGGGCGAGGGACCTTGCCAGCCAGGTGGTGGGCCGTATTTGCGCTGTCCGTTTTCTTGCACCATTCCGTAGCCTGACCCTTCCATCAAGGCCACAAGTGCAGCTTCATTTGGGGCCCCGGCCACTCCTTCTGGGACAGAGCAGTGATGCTGTGGATGCCCAGAGGAGGCTTTAGAAGAGGGGGGAGGGCTAGGGTTACTCATGGCAACGGCAGAGGCGGAGTCTTCTGCTGTCATTCTGAAATAAGCATCCAATCAGGATTGGAGTCTAAAAAGAGATGGAAAATTCATCCGGTTATTTTGTACTGAAAACAAACAATGAGCATCACTAAATAATTTGGTTATAAATCCATAAACAATACAATTTCAGTAACTTTTAATTTAAGTAGATGTTTATATTGACACTGGAATCCCAGGGCCTGATATTGATTAGGGATGTACCAATATTAAAATTTATGGTCAATAAATATTTCCATGTTATGGCTGATATTAAAATTGAAATATTTTTGACAAAAAATCTTTTTTTTTAAATGAAATACCAAAAAACTATTTTATAATACCAAAAGATTATTTTAAATGCTACTGGTGGATGATGTATCATATGAAAATGTGATATTAATTTGATATTAATTTTGAGATTTGCCATTACATTTAACAACATTCTTATAAACTGAATGTTTTAAGATTAATTTCAAGTGAGCATTAGATGATAAGCATCTATAATTAGAAGGAAATAAGCATCTATAATTAAATATCAAATATCACTCGATAAATTAAAGAAAATCTCTCATGAATATTTAATTATTAATCATTACTGTACAAATTACTGTAAAATATTACTGTAATTACTGTAAAAAATATTTTCATGATTTGTCATCACAATATTTTTAGATAAGTTATAAGTTTAGATAGATAAGTTACTTCGATAAGTTATGTGGTTCAGATAACATATTACTTTAAGTTTCTGTTGATTAAACCAATCTCCATTGTATCAACTCAAATTTTCAATTTCAATGAACTCAAAATTTTAAGGCAACCAGGTTACTTACTTTAAGTTAAACAAATCACTTTTTTTTTACAGTGTATAAGTCCTATTTTCTATATAAAACACACACACACACATACACATAAAACGTAAATCCTCTTCTACACCTAAAGCTGCCTAATAAACCTCACTAAGCCGCATCTACATTCTTCAGCATGGAATAAATCTCCAGAATGCCCAAATCCTACAGTCCAAAATTTTCCATAAACAGAACGGAAGTAAACTACAAAATCTTAGACAAAGAAATTGTGTTTGATATAAAGAAACTACGTTTTTTTTTAAAGGAAATTAGTATGTTTCTTGCATAATAAAACATTACTGTATATATTCAATCACACCGTTTAGCTGTTAGTTGGCTCTGGTTAGCCGGACCTTGATGCCGCTTAGAAGGTAAGGTAGTTAGGTTGCTTAGCAATGAAACCATGGTTACACACGCAGAGCATGCTGACCCACACACAGCTTATCCGCACACAACTAAGTTCACACAACTCACACAGCACACAAATACATGCAGACACAACTAAGAGGACATAAAGCAACAACAAAGGTGTAAAGGTTATTAATTAGTCATTTACTCCAGGAATAAAGTTCAAATAAATTAACAATTACAACACGCACCGTGCTTAAATAGGTACCTGGTGTTTTCATGATGAGTTCAAGAGGCTCGCTAAAGGAGCATGTGACTGTGACTGTGAGGTTGGAATAACAGGCAACTCAGCAGTACTAAACCAAAGCTCTCTCACACACACACACATCCACAAACACTTCCTCATTCACATGCTTACACACACATATACTGAAAATCAGTACATGTGTGGCTCAAGGCCAAGCTGAAACAGGAAGAAAAGCAGACTGACTAATCAAAAGCCAAAGAGGATCAGGAAGACCAACCAAAAACAGATATTTAAATAATACATCTGTAGATGTAGCGTTTCAGTGATCACTTTAAATGAGGAGACAGCAACACCAAGAGAGAGTCCAACCGCTATTATAGCCTGCAATGAAAGGGTTAGTTTTATTAAACTTATATGATAGTACAAAAAAACATGTCAATAATATGAACAATAAAAAAAATGCAAATTCTGCAGGACAAATTAAAAAAAAAAAATCCATAAAATATACTGCCTCTAAATGACCTACTAGTTGTCCGTTTGTATTAAATTGTGGATAGACTGGTGGAAGTGGGGTCAATGGAAGTGTGCAAATGACAATGAAAGACGATTCAGCAGAAATCGGGAGGAAGGAGAGGTCAAGAGAGAGAAGAAAAAATGGATTTCTGCCAGACACTGAACAAGTAAAGAAAGAAAGAATGCATTTTAAAAATGTGATTCAGCAAGGAGCAATAATAGCTGTCAATTTAGTTCATTGATTTTGTGCAAGTAAACATGACAAAAATAGTGTGATTAAAAAAAGCTATTAATTATGCCCCCTGAGCGCAGTTACAGGCAACGTTTTAAAGCCTATTCAAAAACTCAAGACACTTTTAAAAAAAAGTTTAACTGCTTTTAACTTGATACCACGTTTTAAAAACCTGTTCATGAGCGAGACTCAAGCTATGACACGTGAGTGAAACTTGTCTAAAGACGTCAGTCGCATAAAACATTGGAAAAGCAGTGCAGAATGCGAAACGTCTGTGTGCCTCTTCAAAAACTCTAGCAGACAGCAGGCAGCACAGAATGAGTTCCCAGAACAGGGAATGTTCTCAGAACGTTATGAACAAACGTTCTTCCAGCTACATTAACAGAATATTCTCTCAAAGTTATCTAGTCTTTAATAACTTTCTCAAAACATTAGCACAAAATCATTATTTATACATCATTCATGGAACGTCATTCTGAAACATTTTAGTTGGATGTTCATCTAACTTTGTTTTAAACGGTTACTACTTCCTAGTTTGAGATGGTTTAGAGAACATAAAAAAAAAACATTCCCAAAATGATCAAATTGAACATTCCCTTAATTAATGTTTTCTCTAATGTTCACAAAACCAAGAGAAAAAAAACCTTGATATTTTGATTGTTCAGAGAACATTCAGAAATAATGTTTTCCTAACTTGATAAGAATGTTAGCAAAACGTTCTTAGAATTTTTTTTTTTTTTTTTTGCTGGGGAATTTGCATGTGACACGTTTATGTTCTCATGAAAACTGGGCTGTTTTTACCTTGACACGCTATCTTAACAACAAGGCGCTTGCTTATGCATCAGCTTGACTGCTAAATGGAGTGCAGTTATAGGCTTTTCATTTGGGGCTTTGCTCAGCAAATAGGGGATATAGGGGCAAGTTGTCACACTTTTTAGGTCTATATTTTAAACTCAATTTCTGTATATGTACATACCTTAAAGTCTTGATAATATATTTTAATTTTATAAATGTTTTATACATTTACATTGAAAAAAAAAGAGATAGTTCATATAGGTGTGTTGTCCCAATTGCAGTTCACGTTGACACACTACAGTATATGCGTTATCAATTCTGTACTTAAAACAGTAGAGCATGGCACTAACAATGGCAAGGTCTTGGGTTCGATTGCCCAGGAAGCCATAAAACTTTTGCTTTAGATAATAATGTCTGCTGAAAACAAAATGTTCAATAAAACCTTTCATTAAACAGTATATAATTTTAAGGTAAATCACTAGAGACAACAAAATACACGGAGAAGCATCTTTTAGGCCCTCATGTGTTTCTGGAAGTGAGACTTTGTGGATGTTTCCTTGTTCCGTACAGATGTACTGAAAACAGCAGGAAGTGAGAATCAGTGGCAAAAGAGAGAAAATCAACGGTTGAGAGGGTAGAAAAAGATTACCGGTACTCATTTTCCAGCCAACATTAGGTCTCCATATCTCATTGTACCTGCCTGGCAATGGTTGACCTTTATGTGTGTGCTTGTGTTTGTGTGTGCGTGTGCGTGTGTGTGCCTGCACTTGGTGCAAGGAAACCTGAGGCAGCAGCAGGTGGATGATTAACCAACACAAATCACTAGCTACACACACAGACAAACGCATTTACACACACATACAGAGTGCACTTATTTTAACAAGACATAGGGCCCTTTCACACACCCGGCGCGACGCAAGTGTTTTTTGCTAGTTTCAGCCCGACGCATTTATCATATTCACGTCCTTCGCCACGTTGTTTAACGCTGTTTCATCTGTTCACCCATGAAAACGCTGGTCTGATCTGTTCGCTGGTCTGAAAACGAGGTGTGTTCGGGTTATTTTGAGGCAACTGAAAAAGACTGCGCCATTGACCAACTCAAACCTGGTCAAAAGTCAATAACGCAATATATATATTTTTTGTTATTTAGAGCGCATTAGTAATATGCACCCATAGGTGGGTCCACAACTCGCGTACACTCTGCTTATTACACACACAGGGACGCGCAGCAGCACACAAACATGCCAAATATTAAAAATAAAATGATTACAATATAAAAGATTAATATTGTGTACATAAAGATATGGTGGAATCTGGCTAGTCCCGGAATTTGCAATTGTCTCCAGAGAGCAAACGGATCTGCTTGTTGTTGCCGAGATTAAAGCGCGCGAGCAGACCATCTATGCTCGCGCGCTTTAATCTCGGCAACAACAAGCAGATCCGTTTGCTCTCTGGAGACAATTGCAAATTCCGCCATGTAAATAGCAATCCACCATGATGCGAACGCAACTGGCTTTTAAAGGGAATGGGAGATATCGTTAAAAATGATAGATAGATCGTTAAAATAGGGCCCATAGACTAATTATCATAATATTTTTAAAACTTAAAATCTTCTCTACCATTTTTCTAACAAAACAAAACAAAACCAGTAACACTTTACAAAGTTTATATTTTTTTACATTATTTAACTTCATTAGTTACCATGAACTAACAATGGAAATACACCTAAAGCATATATTTTATCTTAGTTAACTTGAATATTTACTAATATATTTCTTAAATCTAAATATTATTTACTGGACCTGAGCTTACATAAGCTAACTTGCATGTGAATGAACAAGCATTAACAAACATCAATGAATACTGTAAAAACGTATTGCTCATTGTTATGTAATATTAGTAAATGCATGAATTAAGGTTAACTAATGGGACCTACTGAAAAGTGTTGCCACACAAACTACGTTTGAGAATGAGCCAATGGTAATAAGAATGCTTGATTTTTAAATTCAAATACGCCAATTTCCTTCAAGTGTGTTTTCATTTTGATTAAAATATATGTTGTTTAAGCTTACAAAGTTCTTAAATAAATGGCTTGTTACAAAATAACAAGTGATAGAAACAACATATGATGGCTAAGCGTGTTAATGAAGAAGCGTCATTCTTGGAAAGCGTGAGGTTTTATGTGTGTGTGATCACAAGATAATGGTTTGTTATTATCTAAGATACTGATTGACAGAAATATCTGATCTTTGACTTCTTTAACACACAGGACAATACTTGACAATCAGCACAAATATACTCACGCACACAGGTACACAGGAACACACACAAGGCTTGTGTGTGCACTGCAGACAGATCAATTAGTATCTCTTGGGTGAAACTCCTTCGATCTCAGTGAAAGAAAAGTGTGAAATGTAGAAGGGTAGAACAATACACATGCTGGCCTCCCAGAGAAAGAAAACTGCACTGATAGCAAACACACACACACACACACTTGGTTACTTGAAAAATGGATCAACACTGACATTTTGTATGATGGGAAAATAGGGGAAATAGCGTAGAGAAGAGTCATTAACAGAGATTTAACTCAAAATTATTGCTTACATATCACATGTGTTTGTACTACAGTTTGAAAAATTGCAGATAGTAGTGCGGTTACGAGGCTATGGTGTGAATGAATAACAAGGTTGTGATTTTTACTCAGTTGCAAGAATACATTAGTGCGCATTCAAATACACACTCTCAAATACAAAAGATAACGAAGAAGCATTTGTGTCAATGACAAATAAGCCTGTCAATGAATCATAATAAAGAAAAGGGAAAATAATCTAGTTAAAAACACATGTGCCAAGTTCCTGGATGGTAACCAGGATGGTTTTCCACATTTAACCAGGATGGTTTCATATGGTTTTGAAAAAATTGTTTTATAAAAATAACGGTGCAACCATCAATTACAAAGTAACATATTTCCTTCAGACCTTGAATAAATGTGGGTGTACACACCTGAATCATTATAAAAAAATAAAAATTAAGATAAAAAGTATCTTTTACAAAAATAAGAGTTAATAAATATCCGTTTTTTGGGGACCTGCGCATCACATGACATACTCTAACATTGCGTTTTCATAAAACTGTGAGCAGGGGTTTTATCTATGATATCACTTCCTGTTTCATGTTTTCTGCATGTTTTTGCATGCTGTTCACACCAGGTGACTTTGATTTAACAGACAAAAGTTTTTCGAATAATAAGCAGTGTAGCATTTATTGATATATGATTTGAGAATACACAAGATTAGTAATAAGTAACAATTCAATTATTTGAATGAGACTTTTTCAAAATGCTGCTACCAACATTTTTTTACTTTATTCCCATAAAAAGTATCAAAACAACTTTAAATTGAGAATTTAAATAGAATATGCATATTTAAGTTAAAGCATGTATGAATTGCATTTTAAATAATAGATGAGTGTCACGTCATTGACCCATTTGTGTCTGTCTTTCTGTTTATGTGTAGATGCTTGGCAGGTCTTTAGTCATGACAAGGGCTCTTCAAACAATATACACTCCATAGAGCAACCAAGAGAGCAAATAAAAGCCCTCACAGAGACACAAAAGCTCTGCTGGTCTGAGTGTCATGAAGGACTCTCAGGGATAAAAGGCGGCTACAGGACATGAGTGAGAGAGCGTTTGTGTGTGTGTTTTTTTTATAACCATGTCTGAAAGTTAGGGTGTCAGCAAGGTTTAGATTAACTCAGGATCCATACAAGGTGACCATTGCATAAAGACTCAAAGTCTGTCGACTCGCCAACACATAATCTGGGAAGTTAATGTTTATTGCTGAAGAGACTCTTAAAAAACCTCACTTTAAGAAACCACTCACATGATGAACAGAAAAGTGCAGAACCTTGTGTTCTTCTCAGTGACTAAGCAAAAACTCTCAATAATTATTAAACCTCATCTCTGACAAACGTCGACCTTTGCGACACTTCATAATCAATGTGCAGATCATTAACATTAACTCTGCTTAAACGAGAATCCACAATTCACTTTAATTTAACAGACTTTACTTAACCAAAACATAATGGCTACGCAAACCCTAGTGGGAAAACAATAGAGGTTTTTAAATGGCCAGTGATCAAGGCGGCCGATTGGTCGATATATATACATAAAGCCAGGATTAGGCCTCAGTTTAATTAGGATATTTAAGTAGCTTTTATAAACGTGCCTTAGAAAAAAAACATTACTGGTGTGCATCTTGAGACAAAACAATGGCGCTGACATATTTTAAGATATGCCAGTGCAAGTTGCTTTCAGTTCAGACAGCTCAAACATACATTTTAGTCTGGGACTAAACCAGCCAAATATCACTTAATTATAGTGAAATCAAATGGACACTTAATATTTAGTCAACTTCAACTTAAAGTTCCCTAAATTTAACTTTCATATTAAGCATAAAATAAGTTATCCAGCAAAAAAGCAGCTGATTGATTTTGAACCTGACACATAGGTTTCTACTTCCGTTAATCACCAAAGTGGTTAGGCTGAAATGGCCAAATGTGCAATTCATGATGGGATCCCAACAGCTTATGCACTTTATGTCTTCATGTAGACAGAGAATAAACCTCATGTCACAATAACAATCAATCTGATATACTGAAAGTAACAGAAATTCAAAATAAAAATAAAAAATACGGGTGAATTCTTGAAACCTAACTCAAAATTAAGCACATTCCAACCCTACAGTTTTCATTATGTAACAAATCATTGTATTACAGTAATGAGAAAGGATCTAAAGAGAATAACCACTGAGAATAATCAAAAAACAGCTATGTGTGCATTGTAGATAAACATCTGGATCAGAGGAGGCCACTTAACAATATTACATAAAGAACACATTATGGTTCCTTTTAAAACAGAACACTGGTGTGGAATCAAACGATGCCAGACAGAGTGAAAGACATGTGGACATGGTGACCATCATACCCACAACACCATTCTCAATTCCTGTAGTCCTCAGTTTCAATTCTCTATGAAAACAGGCTACAGTAAAACATTTATCCAGTCATTCATTTAAAACACACACAATGATTTTTGTTCACATGACTTAAACTACAGTCAAAAATGCCCAAGCATCACTATTATAGTATTTATTAACACTTCTTGATACATTTATATTTAATAATATTGATTAAATAAGCTTTTATTTCTTATATATGTAGTATTTTAGTTTTTTATTAATATCACTCATTTATTTATATTTTTGTAATTGTAAACTAATTTTATTGTAGGTGCCAAGACAACATCTCTAATTTTCGTTTAAGTTTCCCATCTAATATTAATTTCAGCTTTACGATATTCAATTTTTAAAATTTTAGTTAACATAACACTGCTTACAATAAAAAACAAAACAGGAAGGAGGAAGTAGAAAATTTAAAATGATTAAGTTTAAGTGAATACACACACAAGCAAACAAATCCTCACATATTAATCCTTTTGTTTTTGCATACACACACACACAGATCCAAGTGGACAAATCCCAAATGCACGCATACCTGACTATAAACTAAAGCACTTCATTTCCCTACACTGCACATAAATGAGCATTGGGATGAACCACCCGCACACTGATGACATCTTGAGGTTTCTTATCTTGTAGTTTGAACTCTTCACTCCAACGGTTAATCTACTTACTGCAACACAATGTGACGAGTCCTGATCAAACACAGTCCGCTGATTCAGACACACAGAGCTGATGATCTGCTCAAAAATGCCTCTAGTGAGCACATTTCTGATGTCTCATCACTTTCTCTTGGTGATTTCTGTGAGAAATCTGCACATGGAGAATCAAGATACCTCTGCCACTAACTAAAGAGATACAGGAACCTTTCTGATAACAGTAACACGCACAGGTCTGGGCCCACCCCAACAGCAAACATGAGACTGAAGAAGTCCAAAGACCAACAGCCAACACTGTGACGCTCAGTTACATTTTACACTATTTTACACTCACTTGCATAAACACACAATACTGCTAGTCAAATGATGCTATATTCACTTCATTTTAATATTGAATATCTGGTAACAATAAGGTTTCATTTGTCAACATTAGTTAACATGAACTAAAATGAACAACACTTTAGTTTATGGTCCAATTCTCACTATTAACTAGTTGCTTATTAGCATGCATATTACTAGGATTTTGGCTGTTTATTAGTACTTATAAAGCATATTAATGCCTAGTTCTGCATGACCATATTCTACATCCCTTATCCTTCCCAATACCTAAACATAACAACTACCTTAACTATTAATAAGCAGTAATTAGGAGTTTATTGTGCCAAAAGTCATAGTTAATAATTAATAGTGAGAATTGGGCCCGAATCTAAAGTGTAACCACATTTATTAATCTTAATGTTAATTTCAACATGTACTAATAGATTATTAAAATCAAAAATAATATTTGTTAACATTAGTGCATGGTAACACTTTATTTTACAGTGTCCTTGTTACATGTTACATGTAGTAATACAATAAAACTATAAATTATGCATAACTACATGCACCTAAACCAAACCCCAATCCTAACCATAAGTACATGTATTTAAATTATTATTACTCAATACTTACACTGCAACACGGTCCTCTTAAAATAGAGTGCAACCACATTAGTAAATCCACTGTGAACTAACATGAACAATTACATTTTTACCAACTAACATTAGCAAAGATTAATAAACGCTTTAAAAATATATTGCTCTTTGTTAGTTCATGTTGCTAATGCATTAATCAATGTTAACAAATGAGAGAGACCTTATTGTAAAATGTCACTAAATATCCTTAGCGAGCAAATATATTGTTTTCCTTTATAAAGTTCCCCTGAAGGTCATAATGTCATTACAACACGGATGCATAAAGATCAATTGTTTAAATAAGACAACAGCCAGAACTAAAAAAAGTGCTCAAACACACACATACTTTAGAATCCCAGCGGTCAGACACACAGGCATTAAAAAACACAACAACAAAAAAACACAAACGTTACCTGTCTTTTCAGGTGAATGAATGTGTGTCCGAGTGGCAGTGTTGCTGATGTGTGTATACTGTGATGTTGTTTCACTCACACACAGTCACACACACACTCAGGCCTTCTGTTTGTCTGGCGTCAGCGGTTACCCTCTTCTCTCTCTCTCGGTCAATCTCTCGCTCTCACACACACAGTCTGTGGGGTAGAGAGGCGGAGTGTGTGATTGGAGGTACAGTTGGTAAAAGAGTGTTTACTCAGTGCATGTTAGGGGTGGGGCAGAGCAAAGGTGCCCCCTCCTACACATCTCTCCTATATTTCTTTCTTTCTTCTTTTTCCTTGTCACACCCAAGAACCTTTCTCTCCAGTTTTTCTGGAAGCAAACGAGATGTCTGTGCGGGTGCGTGACTGAGTGCGGTGGGCTGTGAATGAGGTTGTCCATTGACTAAGCAAAGGTTCATTACAGGTGGCAAATGACCGAAAACTATTCAGCTTGACCTGGAATCAATTTCCTGAATTCCTGAGTTCAAAACCATTTAAAGACAAAAAGTTTAAAGCTCAGCAGCCCTCATGCTCATTCAAACCTGGAAAGGTCTGTGAAATCTTTTCATTCCTGTTCCCAAGAAACAGGTACTCACACGTTACAGTGTGTCTTGTGTTGCTTTGGTTACTTAGATAAAATGGAAATCATTGATTTCGCAAATGGTTGTGTGTTTGCGTGTGTGTTTTATAACCACCACTAGCCAAATGAAAACAATTATGAAAAACAATTGTGCACCCCAAACATAATCTGAAATTGAAACACAGACTATACTTAACGCATTTAACATTGAAACGCTTTGCGCAAAGAAATTAATTTTACTCGTGAAAAATCATAAAGTCATTTAAAGTCTAATAAAACAATTTTATATAAAATTAATGCTGTTCTTTTAAACTTTCTATTCATCAAAGAATCTTTAAAAAAAATAAAATAAAGACAAATCACGGTTTCCACAAAAAAATATTAAGCGGCACAATTGTTTTTTTGTTTTTTTAACTTTCCTAATAAAGTGTGTTTCCAGCAAATCAGCATATTAGAATGATTTCTGAAGGATCATGTGACACTGAAGACTGGAGTAACGATGCTGAAAATTCAGCTTTACCATCACAGGAATAAATTACATTTAAAATTAAATTAAAATAGAATTTTAAATTGTAATAATATTTCACAACATTACTGTTTTTACTGTATTTTTGATCAAATAAATTCAGCCTTGGTGAGCATATAAGACACTTTGTTTAAAACATGAATAACCTACCAAACACAAAACGTTTGAATGGTAGTGTACCTTTAACACTTTCTTTTAGCTCATGGACATGTTATTTATCAACTACCCGATTATATTTTTCTGCAGAGTCAGTAAGATGTCATATGATGGTCACTTGTTACACATTCAGCTGTAACTACTAAAAATCCTGGGGTTGGAAAGAGGGAGGGGGATGAGAGAAGTGCAACAGGGGATGTGCATATACAGGAAATGACGTTGCGCTTAAGAGCCGAAACAGTTTTTGTTCTAGGCGGCTGGCTGATCACAAAAATCCCTAGTAGCCACACTAAACACACACACACACACACAAACACAAAGGGGTGGCAAACCAGTTGGATGGATCCCTCAACTGAACTTTCTACAACAGTCCTGAGCTCAAAACACTAGTGCACACACACATTAATTCACAAGGAAACATTTCAGAAGTTTTTCCACACTTAATCAAAATGCAACCTTGAAATGTAAAATAGCACCATCAGTGATTATCTTTTTAATCATTGGCAACATTATAAAACCTGAGCACATGATGCATTGTGGGTAGGCTAATAAAGCAGGGTGAGGCTGTGTTGAAAGTCAACATGCCTTGAGAGGGTGCAAAGTCTGCCTTTATAGCCTTATCAGTGCCCATTATAAACATGTAAAATCCTTCTCCTACATTGAGTTCAAGTCTATTTCCTTCTGTTCTTCCTCAGGATTGAGGGATAGGAGATTTTGTTTGTTACAGAAAAAGGGACAGAGTATTAGATAAATATAAATGAAACATATGAACTGTATTCTCAAGGGACGGGGATATAAGACGTACGTGTGTGTTTGTGTGTGTATTGTGGGGGATAAAGATAGATTGTGTAAGTGTGTTTTAGTTTTGCACACATTGCGTCACACATTGCCGGTAAAGGTTACTGGAAAATCAGGTTTAACTTAAACTTCAACACTGTACGAATGCATGAATAGACTAAAGACACACACAGGCACGCAAACAGACATGCGCTCTGACTGTCTTTGCTAGTAATACTTCTAACCTACAGTAGATCTCTGAGTCAAGGTCATCTGATGGTGACTGCGCTGATGGCTCAACCACTCAAGAGCTTTAAATATCACCAGACACGGAAGAGCCATATTGAATTGCAAAACACAGTGTGATTTTGGACCAATGAGATGTCACTGTAGGCGGGGCTACAAAGCGCATTGGCACACTAATAGAAATAAAAAAACTCAGATTTATTTAGAAGAATTTCAGTTAACTTTGACCTGTGAATCACCATAGTGCAAATATATTTGAACAATAGAGGATCCAAACATCATAGATTGACTTTTGAAGTGCAACGCCAAATTGATTATTATGATTATTAGTTGTGATTTGTAATTTATTTAAAAAATAGATGCCCTTGAATGTGACGTCATATCATGTTGAATCAATTTGTTGCGCGTTGAAGCAATTTCGCATGCTCAATGCGTAGTAATCATGGAGGATAACTCTGTACTCCCATTGGTTGTAACCACATCGTTTCACTGCTCATTTGCATAACACTGAACTCTGTTTAAAGCGATAGTTCACCCAAAAACAAAACTTCTGTCATTCCCAAAGACTTTTGTTCATGTTCGAAACACAAATTAGGATATTTTTAATGAAACCTTTCTGTCTCTCAATTGAAAGTCAATTCTACTAAAGTCTGACGCTTCAAAAAATACATAAAAACATGAATCGAGCAGTTTAATTCAAGTCTTCTAAAGATTTAAATGGATTACTTTTCTGATGTCTTTATGAACATTTTGAAGCATCAACGTATAGGTGTAAAGAATGTTCGATGAAGGGCCAAAAATCTCTCTTAGGTTTCATTAAAGATATATTAATTTGTGTTTCAAAGTAGAATTAAAGTCTTATGAGAGAGTAAATAATGACCGAAATTTTAATTTTGCAGACAGTCTCTGTCACTAATGCCAACTCTCATTGAAAATAATTGACTTTCTGTCACTTTGTTGATTCAAATCACTTTGAATGCACTTACTCTTCAGGTTTTCTCATTGAACACTGACTAAAGGGTCATACGAAACAAAAACACGTTTTTTGAGAGGTTAACACTTAATGTAAATCAGTAATGCCGTGTGTTATTTTTAATGTTAAGAGAAAAGTAGTTACTTGTTGTACTATTCTGTTTTTCGACGTCTTAGCTGAAGGACAGGGTGTTCTTACAGAAAAAGAAACACTTGTGAATGTGTGCGTCTTCAGTATCAATGCAAGAGGGATGAGATGTTTTAAACAGTTACATTTAAAAGAAGGCAAGCTGCTAGGAACCATTGTGTTCTCTCAACCCTTCATTTCACACGTACACACACTACAGCAGATTTGTACATCAAAATGTGATTGGTACATTGGTAATGCAATTAAGATGTGCACACTATATAACAGTATTCACACACCAATGCTGCTTTTGTGCGGTTTGTTGGGTTCAATGGACGGGGCCTATTATTACTCACTACAACAAAGTAAAGAAGAAAGGGGAGAGAGAGCAGTGTGTAATGAAGCGGCATAAAAGCATTAGCAAGACAGAGAGAAATTGAGCGACTTGATTTGGACATGCAGAACTTGTGTCACTAAGGAGACCAGTGTGTGTGTGTGTGTGTGTGTGTGTGTGTGTGTGTGTCACACGGTGGGATATCCCAAATTAAATCTTTGGACTAAAAGAGCTCCACCCCTCAGAAGTCACTATTAATCAAACTACCTGGAGGAGAACCATGTTGAACACACACACACACACACACACACACACACACACACACACGCACACACAGCTCTTCTAGTCTGTCTATAGAGACAGTATAAGAATGCATTCATTGTGAAGTGCAGGTATTTGGTGTGTATTAGGGAGAGAGATGGGAAGAAAAGCAGAAGGGAGAGAGAGGAGATCCTGTTTCACTCACTCACACACAACTCACACACGCTTGTCCAGATGTCTGTCAGGGTTAAAGTCATGCTGAGGAGGTCACATGATCAGTCATATGACTTTAAAAACACAGAAAGAGAGGTGACCTGTCTTGCTCTCTCTCTCTCTGTTTACTTCTTTATATCTAATAGTACATCTACAAGAGTCAAGAAAGACTGACTGAAGTACTGAAGGTGGCTGAATAAGAAATGTGTGTGTCCCGCAAAGAGGAAACAAAAGTACTGAGTCAATAAAGAATGTAGAATTGAGAAATGTCCCTAAATCTTATCATTTGAGTTTGTGGGGATCAAGAAATGAAAGCGTTTGACTGATTTGGAAGTGTTTTTTCTTCTTCTTCAGAAATAAAGAAAGTTGGACAATAGGACCGGGCAATATAAAAACTAAAATCAGTTTTTTTTTTAAACATCTCAATATTTATATACTTATCCAGACATTACTTTGAGTGAAGCCGCAAACAAGCCATTGAATCAGGGTTGTGAATCGATTCATTAAAACGGACAGTTTGAACTGATTCATGGATAACTCAACAACTCTAAATGCATTTTTGTGTCTGACCTAAGATTTAAATCGGTCAAAACGCTACTTGCTAATTGTTGGATCGAAATTTTGAATGAAAAAAATTGACCCGCATTTCTGAAGTATAAGCCAGAGGCACAATTAAAGCATATCTGTCTCAACGTTCATACTCGATTTGCGAGACAAATTGTACGTCTTTCGGAAACTTAATGGCCAAATAAAAAGAAAATTAAATTCATTGTTATATTCACAAAATTAATAAAAGATAAAAGTGTATATAAATTCTAAAAACACACATGCACCTGAATATGCTTGCCTTCAGATAATCAGATAAGCATCTGAATGGAAACAGAGAGAACTGGTTCAAGTCAGAGCCACAGCCAATCAGATTTCAAACACACACACACACACACTCAAATGCAAGCACTACTGGGCCCCCAAAGGTCTGTCACCAAATAAACATGCCTACACATTTAACTGATGCGGTATTTAGAGTAATAACAGAGAGTCACCTGACCAGTGAGACGTGTACACACAGTGACAAGTTGTCTTTTCTTTGTACTTCACCTCAGTGTTAATTCTTTTCTAGTTCACTTAATTTCTTTTAAACTACATCCCCACAATGCAAAGCCACAGCGTGTCAGCTCTCAAGACCACTGACCTCTTTACCCCCTACGTGAAATAACCCATTCATAGGCACTCGCAGACACACACACATGCTGGGTTTTCATGTTTTATGGGGACATTCCATAGACATAATGGTTTTTATACTGTACAAACTGTATATTCTATTCCCAAACCCTAAACCTACCAATAACAAAAAAAATCTCTGCATTTTTACATTTTCAAAAAACATAATTTAGTATTTTTTATAAACTGTTTTCCTCATAGGGACCAAAAACTGTCCCCACAAGGACAAGGATTTTTTGTTCCCATAATGTAGGGTTTACCAGGACCACACACACACACACACACACACTTACCAAGATATCCAAATAGAGACTTAGACTTCTATGGTTTTTATATAAAGATAATTGTAACTACAACTGACTACTACAAGTAATATACTGTATATATGTATATATTTTTAAATAAATAATTTGGTTTACTTATGAATGGTTTTTCCAGTTTAAAAAGTCTGGATTTCCCTGAGGGAGGTTGTGTATGATTTAGCTCTCTTCTGCAGACAAAATTGTACCTCAGGTACAGCAAAGTAAACACACCAACCCACACACACGTTTAACAGTTATCTAACTATTGTTCTTATATAAATCTAATTATAATTGCTACAAACTAACCCTGACTCTACAAGAAAACTTCCATTTTAAGATTAAACTCTTTGTGTATGATATACAGTACTTTTGAGGAATCTTTTGGGCATCCCTAAAGTAGGTTTTTATCAGATGTAGCTACTTTTTTGGAGACAGCTTAAACCCACATTAAAGCACTTCACATGCATCAGGAGGTAATTTCCACATTATTGACAGAAAAACAAGATTCTACGGCTCTAGAAACAATTTTTGCTCAAGAAACAGTGATTAATCTTTAATTAAGATTTGTGTCTTGTCCTTTCATGTTGCGCCTTTCCCCTTTGGAAAAAGAAGTACACGTCTACGCTCATTATATTGACTATGCAAACTCTTACGCTGGCTTGATTAATTTTTTTTCTCTTAGATTGAGCCATCTCTCTGTCAGAAACCTGATTCTCTCACACACACTAAATTATAGCACACCCCCTGAGTGCAGTTACACAACACACATACACACACAAAAGACCCGCAGAGCAACTTTCAACACAGTTTTCGCAACACAAGGACATTCTAACCTTACAACTGTAAGATGGAAAAGAGAACAAAAAGGGGAGGGAGGGAGGGAAAGAGAGAGAGAGATGTCAATTTAACTTTATGAAAATAAATAAGGTCAGAGGGGAGAACATGATCGCTGGACCATCTGTGAGAAGATGACAGAGAGAACAAGAAAGAAAAACAGACAAAACATGAGACACCGAAGGAGAGAATGACAGACAACGTACGAACTTACCTGCGCTTTTAATAGCTGTCAAAGAGAATCTACGTGTTGCATTAATCAAGCAGATCAGCCACAATCATCCCTGTTTCTCTGTATTTCACCCTTTATCGTGTCTGTTCTTGTAGGTTTTGACAGTCCAGAGTGATGAAAAAACTTTACGTTTCTTGTTTTTTCTCTTTTAGTTTCTGTCTCCAAACTGTTTCACTTCCCCGTCCCTGCTGTTCGTTCCCCTGTGTCTCTCCTTCACTGGCGAGGAGAAGGAGGAGGGAGGGAGAACGAGAGAGAGCGGGTGGAGAGAGAGAGAGAGAGAGAGAGAGAGAGTAATTAGCGCTAGTCTCTGTACCTGCCTCTCACTGACATAATCTTCACATTCCTCTGCTGTGAGGAGGAAAAAAAATGAACAAAAAAATTTGTAGGAATACTTGCCCAGTCTGAAATCCAGAGGGTCAAAAAACAAACTTATCACAAAAAAAATTATATACTGTATATAAGGAATTTGAAATCTTCAGACAGTGATAAAATGAAAGAGAGAGAGAGAGAGTGTGTGTGTGTGTGTGTGTGTGTGTGTGTGTGTGTGTCTAGAGCAGTTAGTACCGGGAAATGTTTCTCACCGGGTTGGTCCGAGCAACCTGTTCCTTTCTGTGTGTGTGTGTCTCAGAAACTCACCAAACCAGAATGCTTCCAAGCTCTCGGATTGGAAACGCTATCCTCCCTCAACCTGGAGACAGGCCAGATCAGCATTCCACACACACACACACACACACACACACACACCTTACAAATATAAGAGCTCACCATCCCATTTGGTTTGTCTGATTTAAGCAATAAAGGCCTCAAAGTGACACAAAGATGAACACACACTCTGTTTCTCATAGTCCTCTGGGAATGTTTGAATAAAAATGGGGGAAATTTTTTTTCAATCTCCCAAATAACCATTTCACCTAGTTCACTGACCTCTAGCTTGTGTGTGTATTTCAAATTATGACTTCATGTAATGCGATCATACAGACAACATGTCACGTACACGTATTAATAAATAAATTTGCCACGTACGTACACGTATTAATAAATAAATTTGCTATGAATAAATTACACTTAAGAAAATTGCACTTACGTTTCTCGTTACAAACTCACAGGTAACATTTTATTTTAACGTGACGTACAGTAGTTGCACATTACTTGTACTTACTATAGTAATAACTATAAATTATGTATCACTAACCCCAAATCATACCCTAACATTAACCCTTTAGTGTGTCAATTGTCTTACCAGACAAACAAATGGTTCATCTACTGATAGTCACTGATTGGAACGTTTCACTGAATCATTGATTCCTTAACTTGGCTGAAAACAGAAATGAATGAACCAACCCCCATGTGTGAAATACAAGTCTCTGAGAAGAGTTCTATTTATTCTCACACAGAGAAAAAACCTTTCATACAATCAATGCATTCAACACACCTTCTCCTCTCTCAATAGACAGACAATGCAGAGAGAAAACAAGAGACAGAGAGAGAGAGAGAGAGAGAGATCGGAAACACTTCCTCAATGCTGGACATGACAAAGGCTTACAGGTGAATTACACATAAGCAAAAGCAGTAGGAGTTGACAAAATTACATTCCTCATCTCTGGTTGCAGAGTCACTGCACGACGGTGACACAGCAAATTCAACATGAACTAGACCAGGGGAGCCTTTTTTGTATTTTAGTATATTTATTTTTGGGGGGCACTATAGTGACATAAATTGCTAAGCTTTTAATTAAAAGGTAAACGAAACCATGTGGTAGGGTCAGTATGTTTTAATGAGTAGTTTTTGTTCTGAGTTACTGGGTGGATTTGAGACTCTGACCGTTAGAATGTTAATCTGTTTAAAACCAATCACACTCCTGCCTGAAGAGGGGGGATACAATCACACACTTTCTCCCACACACACACTCATTAACATGAAGCTCGAAAACATACACACAATAGGTCATTTGCAGGCCCAAAACATACATACACTACCCCCTCAACCCAAAACAAATACACACCCAGAGGAAACATTTATTTGTGCTTTAAAGCTCAACCTCTATAAAGCTTTCATTTTCATTTACACATACCATTCAAACATGAGGTTGGTAAAATGTTTGAATGTTTCTGAAAGAAGTTCTAACCAAAAAAATACAGTACGAACAGTAATATTCTAATATGCGGATTTGGTGCTCAAGAAACATTTGTTATTCTGATCACAGTTGAAAAAGGCTTGTGTTGCTTAATATTTATGTGGAAACTGTGATACTTTTTTTTTTCATGAATCTTTGATGAACAAGGTTCACATGAACTGCATTGATTAACAATATAAATGTATTTGTGGTCCGTTTTGATAAACTAATGCATCCTTGCTGAATAAAAGTATTCATTTCTTTAAAAAGAACTAGTGTCTACTTTGATGTTTCCCCTAAAATTCCTTAGCAGAAATGAAAATGAAATGAGACATCTGTAAAATTATTAGAATTTGGCTTCGGAAGGATTTGATGAGAAATGTTCACACTGAATTCTCTAACTTTTAATTGCAGAAATTTGTATCTTGGTCTAACTGAGCAAGTTTATGACATCTTGCTAGGGTATTGTTCTCCAGCGACAAATCTAAAATGCAGGAGACATTAGCAAAATTCTGAAACATTGCTGTTTAGAAAAAACAATTTAGATACTTGGATGAATACATAAATTTGAGATTTTTTTGGGATAAATATTGTCTGCTGAATGAATAAACGTAACTGATTTTTCAGTCCTCATCATTGTGCAGTTCTCAAATATAAATTATTAAAACACAAATTAGAAAATTTGCCAATGATTTATGATGTGGATATCAGCACTACGTTTACCACAAACGTTCCCACTTTAACAAAAGACACAAAGTGGTAAAAAGGATATTTTGACTGTATGAGGGTGACCTTGTCCTCTGGCTGCACTTCTGAACAACTCTTATCAAAGCTGTTCCCTCTTTGTCTCAGCCTCACAAAAAGCTCATACATATAACTTCATTCATCTGAGACGCGAGCATTACAGTAAGTCTTAATTCTAAGACAAAAAAACTCACCTATAAAGATTCATCCCCATCTACAAACTAAGATTCACAGCTCTATGACAATGAATTTCGATTTTGTCCACCAGACCTATTATGCAATTACACAGTTAACTTTTTATGTCATTCACAGCTATTGGCTATATTAAACAGAATATACAACAGTTAGTTTTTGGTTCTTGAATTTGATTGGCCAAGCACGAGCACTACTGGGAATTTAATTGTTGGATCACTCCGTTTGTATGTTTGTCCATTCCAGAGACTTCTCAAGTGTTCATATGACACCCCAAAAGCAAATAACTAATTTAGACATTCAAACTTTTTACATAGTGACATTATTTTCATGACAATTTAGCAAATTCCCATTCCCATTAATAAAAATAATCCAATATTTTTTTTCATTAAAGTCCCCATGAAATCAAAATGTATTTTTTTTTTTTTTGCTTTTAGAATAAATGTTAGCCTTACTGTTATCTATAAGCTAGTGTGCTCCAAAACAATGGCAAAAATCGCATTTAGAAGATATAAGCATTCGAAACTTACAGACTCTCTTTTCTGCCAATAAGGATCAATGATTTTGATGATATCACTCTGCACTTCTTCTCATCAGATTTCCTGTCCAATCAAATTCTCTCTAGAATCTGAAGCGTGAAATACCCCGCCCCCTACATTATAAATAGACGCTGATGCTGCAGCAGAAATCAGTTATTTATTTACAGTTTAGCAATAAATGATAGAAATTTGTGCATTGAGAATGAATCAATCATGCAAGGGATTCGTTCAAAACAGTGATTTATTCTGTGATTTATTGCCCAGTGACACATGGTATCTTTATTCAAAGTCAAAGTCAAAGCATTGAATGATTTGGAACTATTTTAAGTGGAATAAATTAAACTTATTAATAAATTAAGGTTACTTTTTAGACACAGACTTGCAGATTACATTACGTCTATTTTACTACAATTTTACTTTGTAAGATTACTTTTTAGACAGTACTGTTGATCTACAAGTTGACTTTTTAGACATTACTACCGATTATGTAACATCTACAAGTTTACTTGCAAGTTTACTTTTTAGACATTACTGGCGATACCTTACATATACAAGTATACATTTTAGACATTACTACAGATTAAGTTACATCTACAAGTTTACTTTTTAGACATTACTACCGATTACGTTACATCTACAAGTTTACTTTTTAGACATTACTACCGATTACGTTACATCTAAGTACTCACATCTACTTTTTATATACAGTATTGGCGATTAAGTTAATGACAATAACAATGCAATTGAAAATATTTCCAAATGAAGCTAAAGCAACCGTTGCATTTCACAGAGAATCAAGTTGTTTAATTCCTGAATGAATCACAGTTTTGAACAAAAACTTGCATTAACATTCGACAATACTGTGTCTAAAAAGTAAATGAATGTTTTAGACACAGTATTGCGGATTATGTTACGTCTATTTTAGTCTACCAACAAAAATAGTTCCAAATTAAGATAAAGCAACCATGGCGAGTCAAGCTGAGCAATAAAAATGTCATGTTTAATTCCTGAAACAATCAGTTTCCCTTGCGTGATCAATTAAATTACTCAGTCACAATGCACAAAAATACAATCACTTATCACTACTGCAGTAAAGATGGCTCTAGAATGCACAAGCACAGACTTGGGTGAAATATCAGCAATAGTATGTCTAAAAAGTGTGTGTAAAGTGGATATTTGGGCTTTGCGTGAGTAGAGGGATTGTGGGATGAAAGCATGGCGCGCGTGCTTAAACCTCTGCACTGTTAGAACAATCGTTCTCCTCTCCATCTCGACCCGCTTTTCAGATTACCAGTTTATTGCACAAATTCCACATCAGCTTACAGCACAACGTCCGATTTAGCGTCTTCAAAACACACTGCCGTTTAACCTAGTAATAAAGCAGAATTACTACTGACAAATCCTAACCAAAGACCTAAAAGAAAAAGGTTTTAATTTCAAGAATAAAAACACCATTTTACATTTATTTGTGATGCACTTTTATCTTTGAGGATGTGATCAAATTAGTTTTAGTTAGTTCTGAAAACGTCTTTGAGCAACCATGTCCCCAGAGGATAGTTAGAATGTTCCTCAAGTTAGAAACACACACAAAGGCATGGTGTGAGAGGGTTTCATTCCAGTAAATTGTCCTGTTTTGTGTGTAAATGAGTGCGCAGGCCCAGCTGACACAACACTCAACTTTCTGAGATAACAATTCACTTTCACAAAGCCATCTAGTGGTGTAAAGGGCTACTCACTTTTCATACTTTTCATTCAAAGTTATTGAGTTGAATCACAATGAATAGTCTTTGTATAATGTTTTTTTCCCCCTCAGACATTACCTCTGCATAGGGCACATACAGTTACCTTAAAACATGGTTAGGGAATATACTAATAAGCACCATTTAAAGATATCCAAACATTTAAACTCTTTAAATCTGACTTACTTTTTTTTACAAGAAGATATTTTGAGAAATGTCTCGTGTTTTTTATAATCCATATAATGGAACATAATGGAAGTCAACGGTGACCAAAACTGTTCGGTTACCAACAACATTCTTCAAAATATTGTATGTTCCGCAGCAGAAACTCATAGAGGTTTGGAACAACATGAGTAAATAATGACAGAATTTTCTTTTTTGATGAACTATCATTTCAAGTTCCTTTCAACATTAATATGGCAATATAAGGTGCCAAATGAAGTTAAACTCCCCCTGTAGTCAATAATTTGATCAAACTAATCTTTGATCACCAAAATGGCATATTTAAAAAAATAATTCCAGTGAAAAAAAATGAGTCATGCCTTCAAATAGCTTGAATGTAACTACACCCTTGCTTCATTTAGTATACAAGGAACCATGAATATGCAAATGAGCCCCGTCTCCACTCACTCATACAGGCTTGTCTACAAGTCGATGTATCAGAATGGTAATGCATTTTATGTATCGCTCTCTGCAACCTCGGACACATAACGTTAATTAATATGATTAGCTTTTGGCTTGACTACGTTATCAAACAGCTAATAATGTGTTGCTAATGTTTCACATAAGATTTCCCGTTCGCTATATCAGAGTCAGACAGCTGCCTTCTAAAAAATCAGCATCCCTACAAAAGCTTTGAACATCATAGAGAGTCAGTGGAGAAAGGCATATAGGTCATCATAACATCGTAATATTATTTTTATCTGAACAGAAAATTATACCAAGATAGCTAGCTTCTTATCTCTTGAGACTCCCCTGCTTCGCGGCAGTAAATGATATGCTAAAGTCCGGCCCGCCCATACCTTGATGTGATTGGTTACAAGGTAATTTGTTACATAAGAAACTTCCAACCGTGTTTTAGACACTGCAGTTTTAATGAGAAAATACTCAGCAATGGTGAGTAAATGACTTGTGAATTTGCACATGGTTTGTCTTAAAGCATATTAAAAACACCACATTTACATGAACTACATTAAAAACTTGATTTTCACCACAGGGAGTCTTTAAGTATAAATGAAAGATATATTTTTCATTTCTTTAGATAATTCAACTTGTTTTTTTAAGACAAAAATAATCTGGACAGCCCATCCTGACTCAATGCCAACACACTTTCCACTGCGACATTCACTCTTCATTGCCACATGACTTTATTGACCTTGTATTTTGTGCATTTATACATAGCATAATACTAGTACCACGTAATCTTATTACACAACTATGGAAATCTGAAAAGTTCCCTGAACCTTGTGCCACTTCTTAATACAATACCGTTTTAAAAGGCAGTCCACCAACAATTTGATTTGTTGCTAGTTACAGTGTAACTAGACTTTAGCTACAGCATGGCAGCTTTCAGCAGTGCTTGTCAGCAGTTTCCATTAAATATTATTTTCTGTTCATGGCACTAAAAGTTCCTTCTTTCCCTGTGTCGATCACTTGTTGGTAAGTGTTTGCTAATTTCAGCAGCAAAAGTATTTATAACCGCAGGTTATCGTTCTGAACACTAATCATGATAAATATACTTTTGCGGCAGTCCGGTCAAAGTTCACGCTACGGTTCAGAGGCCAAACCAGCAGCAAACTCCACCAAAGTACGTGTAGGTCTTCCAGACATTCCTTTTCTCAGGTATGGGACTTCATCCTTATTGCTCATGACCCCGGCAATGTCGAGATGAGCCCAATGATCAGCTGTCACAAACTCTCTCAGAAAGGCTGCAGCGGTGCAGGCGCCACCTGAACTGTGAGGTCACAGACCAGTTCAGTGTCATGGCAACCAAAAACAAGCACGGTAAACATTACAGATAACAAATACAGTGCTTATCATAAACTTGGGGTCGGGTAAGATTTTATGTTTTTAAAAGAAATCTCTTATGCCTACCGAGGTTGCATTTATTTGATCGAAAATACAGTAAATAAAGTGATATCGTGAAATGTTATACAATTTTAATGTATATATAGATGTATTTAAAAAATACATCATTACTCCAGTCTTCGATGTAACATGATCCTTCAGAAATCATTCTAATATGCTGATTTGCTGCTCAAGAAAATATTTTATGTTATTATAACAGTTGAAAATGGTTGTGCTACATATTTTTGTGGAACCCATGATTTTTCAGGATTCTTTGAAGTTCAAAAGAAGAGTAATTATTTGAAATATATATATATATATTTTTCAAGTCTCTTTTGATCAATTTAATGCATCCTTGCTGAATAAAACTATTAATTTCTTAACGCATGTAATAACGAAAATAATTTAATGGGTAAATGTAATGTAGACATTTTCCTATTGAAACAGGAAGTTGGGTCGGGACAAATCGAAGAGCTTCAGTGCATCCAAAAGCATATATGGTCGGAGTATGTACTGCATTAGATAAGAATTTCTCAACCATTATAAATTAATTATATGCGCTATAAAGTATGTATGTGTAATATGAATACAATATGGACATGCTTTATTTACCATGTTGGTAAACATTTGGATGTTAGGGCTTTTTTTTTTTTTATTATCCAAAACCTTTAGTTCGCATTACACCCCAGTAAAACCATGATCTGCTACTTGCTATTGCTAGTCGATGGCCGGTGGAATTAGAGGGAGGGAACATATGAAAAAGATTGAAACCATGTGAATTAGCATTAATGAGTGTGCATGAGTGCATATGTACCGGCTGTATTTTCCAACGTTATTCAGATCTGCCAGGGCACTGTCTGTTATTTGTCTGGTGTAGTGCTGAAACAGTGGCATCCTCCACACCCTGTCACCAGTAACAATGCTTGCCTGGGAGGACACACAGATCACATTATAATATGAACACTCAGCTCACCCAAAGCCTTACAAACTGAAAGAAATTATGGCAGTGATTATTGAAGTGCAATTCAAATCATTTTGACAATCACATTCGAGTGACGTCGCTCATTACCTTATGCAGCCGCTCCCACAGCCAATCAGAGTTGGTAAAGACTCCTGTAGCAGCAGAACCTAAGGCCACGTCCATAGCACCTGCCAGAGGAACAAAGACAGAGAGAAATCCATAATACGATTACATGTGTACTTGAAAAAGCACAAATGTGAATACAGTGTGCATGTCTGTACCTGTAAGTGTAGCCGCATTGATGATTGCTCTGGGATTGAAACTATGAGCATAACACAGAGCATCAGCCAAAATCAGTCTGCCCTCTGCATCGGTGTTGTCAACCTACCAAAGAAATACATTTCTTGCTCAGCATTTCTTTGGACATTTGAGCAGAAACACCATCTAATGTAGGACAGTTAGGCTATTTGTTACAGATAAAGTTTAGCAGAAATGCTCTTTGATGGCATTTCATTTTATAAAGTTAATAAACTAAAAAAAAAAAAGAAAATTTACAGTAAATATTTAGGCAAAGTATGCCAAGATTATTGCTATTTGATATAAACATTTGTTTTCGACACAATAAGTGTCCACTACTTAAATAAAATCTTAACGACCCCAAAATGTTATTCAGCAAGGATGCATTAAATTGAACAAAAGTGACCATAAACACTTGACTTACAATGTTACAACAAATACATATTTAAAAAATAGTTATTTTGAATTTGCTATTCATTGAAATATATAGCATGATTTTTCTACAAACTCTGTTTTTAACATCGATAATACAATAAAATAAATCTTTTAGATTGATTTCTGAAGGACCATTTCAATTTAGCTATGCTATCACAGGAATAAATTACATTTAAAATAAATTAAAATGGAAAACAGCCGTTTTAAACTGTAATAATATTTCACAGTATTGATGTTCAGCTGTATTTTTGATCAAATAAATGCAGCCTTGGTGAGCATTGGAGACTTCTTTCAAAAAACTTTAATTTAATTCTTTCTTAATTTTATCATAAACTCAAAATTGTATTTTTGTTCAAAGCATATTTTAGCTTCATTTGATTGAAATAATACAACATTTAGCAGACACACTGTTGAAGTGTATGTGTGAGTGAAGAATACCTGAATGGTTTTGCCATTTTTGGCACGGACAACATCACCAGGTTTGTTTGCTTTTCCACTAGGCATGTTTTCACAGAGTGGTGCCAAACCTGAAACAGGGAAGGTGAGATTAGTTTGTGTATGAACAGTTATGAAAAAGCAGATGCTAAAGCACAGTGTCTCGTGCAGTGGACAGACCGATAATATTGATCGGAAGATTCAGAGCGGCTGCAGTCACAATAGCAGAACACACAGTGGCTGCTCCACCCATATCTGCTCTCATGGCATCCATGCCTGACGAGGGCTTCAGAGAGATTCCACCACTGGAAATGTATGGACACACAAGTTGTGTGGGTGTTTAGACAGATGCAATTGATGTTTTCAGGTTCTGTCCAGGTGCAGTTACCTGTCAAAGGTGATTCCTTTTCCCACCAGCACAAGAGGAGGCTTTGCAGAGTCTAAAGTGCCTTTGTAATGCAGCTCGAGAAAGATGGGGGGCTCCTCTGAGCCTTTAGACACACTGAGAAAAGCCCCCATATGCTCACTCTCAATCCAAGACTGAGGCCTTAAAAAGTGAGAGAAATATATACAGCAAAGTGATGTGTTAAGTCAAGTCAAGTTACTTTCATTTATATAGCGCTTTTAACAACATATTGTTTCAAAGCAGCTTTACAGTGATAATAGGAAATTAAAGTAACAGAGATTGATTTGACTTTACAGCAGCTCTAGAATAATGTTATTGTCCAGCTAAAGTTAGTTTTGATTGATTCACTTCCATTGCAAAGATCATTAGTTATTAACTTAGGGGCCGCTTACACGACACCATTCTAACAGAAAACCCTTAATGCGCTCTGGCCCGCTCACCTGCAAAATAACAGTGCCTGGTGGCACGGGAATGCAAACCTTGAAATAGGTTCCAAGGTGCAAGCGTTGAAAATTTTTGAAAAACGTTATCATCTCTACGTTACCGTTGACGGTGTGCACATGCGTATTACGTGTTTAGTCTATAGGTATGTGCGTTTCAATATATGTGTGTGTGTGTGTGTAGGCGTGTTGTTTTTCTTTACAAATTGACCTCAACAACTTATTGTCTGGCCTTAAAAATTCATAAAAACTTATTTTTTTGTCGCTTCCACGTATCCATGTGAACTGGAATCAATTAATGTCATTATTAATGACATATATTTCACAAATAATAGAATCATCAGTAATGAATAGGGTGATTGACTTTAAAGAGGACCTATTATGCTTCTTCATGTACAACTTTCTTTAGTGTGTCATGTTGCTGTTTGAGTATGAAAAAGGTCTGCAAAGTTACAAAAGCACAAACTCCACTCCAAAGGGAGATATTCTGTATATACAAAAATAAAAAACTTAGTAAAAGGGCAAACTAGGTCCCCTTAAATGACCATGTACATCTACCTCTTGTGGACAGTGACTCTATGAGCAAAAGGTGACAGTTTCTGCTCTATAGTGTTTGCGAACACTGTGGGTGTGATGTGATTGGCTGGAGCTTCCATCAGCTGTCTGGCCAGGTTCTGCCCGTCCCCATACAGAACACCTTTCTTCCATGCTGAATCCACACTGCTAAGGAACAAGACAGAAATGAACTTACGAGAAAGAAGATAAAGTGTCAGATTTCTTAGTATGAGTGTAAGGTGCGCTCTGTGTGAGGCTTTATTACAAATCATGCAATAAATTTCCTAAGAAACTGAATACATGAATCTATTTAGTATACCTCCCATGTGGTTGGGTCGTGACACGGACCTTCTTCTTGGTCTTCAGCTCATCATACTCAAAAAGCCCGAGCACAGCGCCCTCTGCAGCTGACTGTCCGTCTCCACAAGTGTCCACCTCGACATGAGCTACCTCCAGATCCTGAAGCTGCCTGCAGCCCACTGTACAAACACAGGCAGACATTAGGAACATTTTTAAATAGTGCATTTAAAACCATGTTCTCACTTTACAACACATGTATTGTAAAGATCTGAACACAAAAAAACATGTCGTGATCACAATAATAAGAAATTATAATTTTGTAAGAAACTTAAGCCTATTTGGGAACATTTAAATATATGCATTGTGAATTTTTTCCATGACAATTAAAGGGTTAGTTCACCCAAAAATGAAAATTCTGTCAGTAATTACTCACCCTCATGTTGTTCCAACCCCGTATGACCTTCGTTCATCTTCGGAACACGAATTAAGATATTTTTGATGAAATCTGAGAGCTGGATCACTCCTCCATAGGCTTCTTCAGGGATTGAACTTGCCGGCCTCGAAAAGTTATGAAAGACATCGTTAAAATAGTCCAAGTGACTACAGTGGCTCAATCTTAAGTTTATCAAGCGACGAGAATACTTTTTGTGCGCAATAAAAAACAAAAATATTTATTACACAAAGAGACATTTAGATTGAGCCACTGTAGTCACTTGGACTATTTTAACGATGTCTTTCATAACTTTTCGAGGCCGGCAAGTTCAATCCCTGAAGAAGCCTATGGAGGAGTGATCCAGCTCTCAGATTTCATCAAAAATATCTTAATTCGTGTTCCGAAGATGAACGAAGGTCTTACGGGGTTGGAACAACATGAGGGTGAGTGATTACTGACAGAATTTTCATTTTTGGGTGAACTAACCCTTTAACCTCACTGTATCCAAACATTTTACAATTGATTGCTTCTTGTAATTCCAATTTCCTGAAGTATTAAAGGCAGTACAACAAATACTACCAAGATGTACCATTTAATTGTATAATACGTATTTATGCATTAGATTTCAGTAACTAAAAATACGATTTTTTGGGGGCAAAAATGGAGAACAAAATGAGCAATCTTCAAAACTCATTCTTAATTTTCATAAAGCCAAAATAATTTTTTCAAGTTATTTTGGGAGGAAATATTACTGAGACCACTCACACAAACACATCAATGGCACTTACCAGACACAGCTGCACGAATGCTTTCCTTACAGTTGTCCCAGTTTTCGTTTCCACACACACCTGTGCCGCTTTTACCCAGGCCAACTACAACTACACTAGGGAAGTCCTTTAAAAGAAAAGGACTTGTGTAAGAATTGACTGATATATTAATCTTGACATTACGCATCTGAAAAGGTAACCAAAAACATGTAGAAGTGAGTTCACACCTGATGTAAACCATAGAAAATCCGACTCTTCCCTTTCTTAAGAGGAGGTCCAGATCTACAGAGCAGAGAGGGGGGAATGAGTGGGCATGTGAAATAATGGATCGTGCAGAAAAGCGAATGGACGGTCACGGTACAGTAGGAATGCAAAGATCAAGTGAATGACTTACACCGACAGCATTTCTGACAGTTTTCCTGAGACGGTCCTGTCAAAAGCCGCTGCAGCCTCCGTGAAATGTACCCCGTCATTGTCTGACTGTTTCTCATACACGCCTAAAACTAAGCCCTGAATAAACCCATTCACACACAACAATAAAAACAAAACAAATCGCTTGTTAGTGACCTCCATACACAAAGAGACATTTAGCTGACAAGCCAATTATGAAACTTACTTTTCTTGAGCTGGAAGTAGAGTCCGAAAACAGTCTACAGTTGTGTTTTCGGATTGCAGTAAGTAACACCCTTCTGAATGGTATCAACATCGTGTCTAAATGGATAAAAACTGATTAAACCGTGATTCAAGCATAGGATTCAAGAGGTAATTTAGAAAGATTTACACGTGACTTTGGAAGGTTGAGAATCGCGCATAGTCGCAGCTAATGACGTCAACAAAAGACGACGTTTTATTCCAAAAATATAAGTCCTATTGCCCCTAAACTAAAGGGACTGCACTATGGAAGCTTGTTGTCGCCACTAAATTAAAAAAAAGGTTTTTTATCGCAATTGCGAGTTTACATCTCGCAAATCTGACTCTCTTCTTTTCAGACCTGTGAGATATAAACTCTCAATTCTGAGAAAAAAATGGTTTCCCTCAGAATTGCGAGATATAAACTCCAAATTGAGGGAGGAAAGGCAGAATTGTGAGTTTAAAAGACGGGGTTGTTGGGAAACAGCTGTATAAGGGCGAAATAATCAATAATAAATTATCAAAGAGCACAGTAAAATATAAAATAAAAAATAAATAAAAAATCATCAGTGACAATAAAATGCTAAATCACTTATTAGATATTATCAAACATTGCATTTTATTCCACTTTATTGGACCTTTTAAATATCTATATTTATACCTAGTAATGACATCGACTGATAAAATGTATCAAAGGTACCACTGAAATAAAATAATGTAATGCAAACAGTCCTTATAAAGGAGAAGTGTTTGCACTAGTATTTAGCTTTGCAAAGCCCTTGTACTGCGCGTATTCCTTTTGCAAGTGAACTAAAGAGGCCCGTGTGCGCTTATGGCGTAGGCTACTGCGCATGTCTTTGACTGCGCGTAGGCCTGGCTTTAAATGTTTTCATTCTATTCGCAACCGATATCGCGCTCTTGTCGCCGCCGATCGAAGGTAAAAGAAAAGAGGTACGAAGTCTAAACTGCGAATGTATATAGCGTTACGAGCTCGAACTTAACTCGCACTTTGAAAGTGTGCTGATTTTGCGGTGATCAGGACTCAGGAGGAGCTTCCGTTACGCCTCGCGTGCCACTAGGCCCGCTGACCCACATTCGCGAGACCGCTCGAGGAAGTGCGCGTATGAAATTCAGCATTGTATTTTTACACTACATTATTATTGGACCGTGATTATTCATCGCAGCGCTGCATTGTGATCTCGGGAACGAAGGAGCTTAGATCTGACCAGGCACCTGTGTGGATGTGCGAGTGTGTTTTTCAGTAGGTGAGTTAACGTACCAAATATACTTATGTTGTTGATAAAGGTGGTAGTTCCGTGGTGCATACACTGTTGTGCAGGAAAACCCAGACAAAGTATAAGATTTAGTTTTTTTAAAAAGTAGCACTATCTCTTAAATTATATCACTGTTTATACTGACGTGCCATTTCATTTAGCAACATGCACGTTTGGTTTCGTTTGGATGTTTTCTCACAACGTCAGTGTCCTTGTTATGAAGGTTTGCGTGATGCAAATGAATGATTGGCATGTTTATTACAACAGCTGTTGCAATTTACATCTAATTATTGGGTTGAACTGGAATGATGAGCAGTGTTAGAGGGTTGAGATGCCTTTCATAACTGCATGCTTTAAAATCCACTTCATTAGAGGCTTTTAAATTATGTAATACACTGTGACTTTTAAATTAGCAAGTGAAAATGTGCTAACAAGTATGATCATATATCCTCTCTAACATGTATTTATGTTGAGTAAGCAGTCATGTGACCTCCAGTGCCATGTCCATCAATTAACCTTTCACCTCTGAGTGACCAAACAGATTCACAGAAAGAAACAGTAGGCTATAAAACTAAACCGTTCATTTGTCATTCAATTATCTTCTGTTTTGTGTGTCTGCCGCAGACTTTCACATTGGCAGGCCCTCTTCTTCAATGTCTTCCCAATGCGTCAGGGTGTTTTTAATCCCAGACTGATCCATGAGACGGCGTTATCATGAGTTCCAGAGACCGGTAAAGCAGAAACAGTATTCACTTACGTACACTACCTTTCAAAAGTTTGGACTTTTGAAAGAAGTCTCTACTCACCAAGGCTGTATTTATGTGCTCCGCACAGTAAAAACAGTAATACAAACCCAAACTTTTGAACAGTAGCGTACTTATTTTCTTCAAAAATAATTCTGACTCTTTAATATAGTACAACAGAAATATATGTTTGGATTTTTATTTGTACAAATTCATGTATGCATATGTTGACACCCTGCTTATTAAAATGTAGTAATTTAACACCTATTATTCACACTTGAATTTTCAGTGTCCCACGTTCTGCGCTTACAAGAAAGTACAGTATGTTTGGCTTGACCTTAATTTGTATTCTTGAGTCCGTCCTCAAATGAAGTCTATTTTTAGTCTATTCTCTCTATTTTATAACATAGACATCTGTGGAGTGCAGAGGTGTTCTGAAATTATTTTATAGTATTTTTACATTAAATATGTAATGTTCTATTTATTATCTATTTATCTATCTATCTATTTTTAAGCATTTTCCACATCTATTCCAAAATAATATCTAAAAGCACTAACAATTTAAATAATGTTTTATTTGTTCAGCGGTTCTTTTTAATAGTAAACTTATTTTCGGATTATCAGTCATCAAGCTCTGTAAACACCGGTTACAGGCACGAAAATGTACCTTTAATTCCATCAAGCTGATTGCTCACAAAAAAAAAAACCCACAGTCAACATGTTTTCAGGCCATTTCAACTTTGATTTTGATGTGACAATGCGGTGATATCTAAGTGGCTGAGTTGTTTACTTTTTAACTAGTCTTCATGGAGACCGATTTGCGAACGCGCACGAAAACGAGAGGTGTTATTTATCGCAAGAACCAATCATATCACGATGGAGGCATTGTTAAAACTCAATAGGTTCAGGGAGGCACGAGAGACCACGGACTTCCTCTTTAACTTTACCTGCTTTGCGTTTTTACTTTTGTAATATGGATTATTTTCTCATCCCATACATTGTCTCCCTTGCCTCCTTGGAGGAAACGTCCCTGATAGGCATGTAATTGATTTACAGAAAATAAAAATAAGGTTTTCTATCAGACAGAGAATAAATGTTTATTTTCCCTGTTTTAGGGATGATGGCAGTGTTTTTGATGGGCTGATGGATGATGATGAGAAAGATAAGGCGAAACGGTGAGTTTAATTGCAGATTTTGGTTGTTCTTCTGTTTTATAACATGAAATATTATCATAATAGAAATGGGTATAAACATCATGTACATCAAATAGTTGTCATGTTGATGGACTACTACTAAGCACTACTAAGTTGTTAACAACCACTTGCTTAACCAACACAAAATAGGTGTCGTTTTAAAGCTTAGAAGCTTGGCTTTACAGTGAATAAAGGGAACATATGACCATCAGTAAACAAGTGCTTTTAAACTTTCTGATATTAAAAGTGCTTTTATTTTCATAGTGAAAAAATAATCTGTAAAATTATATTAGCCTATAACAGATAGTCTTGTCATATATCTTTGAAAAGGTCCCAACTAGCAGAATACAAGCAGCATATTTGTTTCAGTTAGAGGCCAAGCTATACCAAGTATTTGTATGAAAAATCGCCACCGTGTAAACACATGATGTTTTTGCGCCATATTTTGGTTTGTAACTTGGTGAAATATCAATAAAGCATAGTAGGTTGCATATCTTTATTTTGGGCAGGTGGTTTCGAACGAGCCCGAACACAACATACGACAATGCGTGGATCACGGAGACACATGACTTGTTTCTTTGCTAAAGCTTCCGGGATCCGATCGCGCGGGATCACGACACGGTGTATTCCTGGTTGATGATCATCACTCATCAACCAGGAGGATCTCATTACTTGTTACTTATTCTATATACTTTTATTGTGGTGTTACACAATAGCTCTTATGTTCAGTAAAATCACTTGTTTGGAGGGTTTTTGGGACCTTTGGTTAATGATGTTTTGAAATAAATGGTTAGCCTACTTAATCCATTGCATGGCTTGAAGACATTAATACGCTTAGAATATGTAACTACGCCGCGCTCCCTTCATTTTCCTCGTGTGTCTGCTGCACATGTTTTGCGCATGAGCCGCAGGCACATCAAAACCACACACTCTAATGATGACCTTGCTTAATCGATTGTCGATTAATTATCATCCCTAGTCTAAAGTGAATAATTTTTTACGGGGTTGGGTTCTTCTTAACCATTTTGCAGCCTTGTCTTATGCTTTGTTGTTTTATTATCTTTATTATATCTCTACTGTCTCAGAGTTTCGAGAAATAAGTCAGAGAAGAAAAGGCGAGACCAGTTCAATGTCCTCATTAAAGAACTTGGCACCATGTTGCCTGGAATCACACGGAAGATGGACAAATCTACAATATTGCAGAAAAGCATAGACTACCTGTGCAAGCAAAAAGGTGAGGCAAAAAAAAAAGAAAGAATTCAAGTTCTAGATGGAACAAGGGGGATTTGTTATTTGCAGTGCTCTGGAATAATTACAGATCTGCGTTATTGTTTTGCCATGCGCACTACAGATGTATGTGTGATTTGGTATAGTGTTCAACTGCTGCAAAGATACGCTATTTTTAAAGCTATTCCACTCAGAACTGTAATGACAAACACTGTAATACACTACCTTTAAAAATGTTGGGGTCAGTGAGATTTTTTTAAAAAAGAAATTAATAATTTTATTCATCAAGGGTGCATTAAATTGATCAATTTGATGCATTTAATACATTTATAATTTTACAAAAGATTTTTATTTCAAATATGCTGTTCTTTTGAAACAAAGCATCCTGAAAGAAACTCAGTGTTTCCGCAAAAACTGTTTTCAACAGAATTTTTCTTAAGCAGCAAATCAGCATATTAGAATGATTTCTGAAGGATTGTGTTACTGAAAAACTGAGTAATGGGTGCTGAAAATGTATCTTTGCCATCACATCTTTGCCATTGTAATAATATGTAGCTATACTACTGTTTTACTGTATTTTTCATTGATGAAATGCAACCTTGGTGAGAGAAAATTTCACTAAAAAAAATATTTTCGACCCAAATCTTTTTAAAGGTTGCGTAGCCTCTAATCAACTTAGACGTACAGATCCTAGGAAAACTGGTTACAAGGAAGTGTTTGTATTCACATACAGAAAATGCTGCACAATCTGAGTCGAGTGAGATCAAGCAGGATTGGAAACCCCCATTTCTTAGCAATGAGGAGTTTACACAGCTGATGCTAGAGGTGAGACCCCGCTTTGGGCAAAATGTGTGTGTTTGTGTTTCTCCTTTGTTTCGTCCTGTTGTGAAAGATGGTTCCACTAATAGAATATGAGTACATCCTCATTCATGTTTAATGTTTATCATTTTTCATACATCACTTCCAGATTAAATTTGTAGTTTAGGATTGGAGCGGTTTTAAAGTCCCACTCCGATCATATTTTTAGCTATTTTTTAACATTCCCAGTGGTCTTTAAATTATGATTATGCCATTTTTAGCCAAAATCACAAAACCTGTGCCGTTTTCTGGGACTTCGCTTCAGCAGAGCGGCATTAGCTCATTAGCAATTCGCCTCTGCGTTGTGGGCGGAGCCGTTGGCACGGAGACGACCCTCCCCCTGCCCGTTGCTGAGAGCTCTGTCTCTCCCGCTAGCTTACACCCCCAATACCGGTGGGGCAACAGTATTATATACACGTTCATTATTATTATCCGAAGTTAATCAAAGTTATCACCGATCACCGATCATTATTTCACTCCAAGACGTCGCGTGTGGAGACGCCCAGTGGAGTTACTACGTCACAACTCCAGTCTATTTTAGCCGGCATTTTAGCGTCTGCTACTGATTCACAGCCATTTGAATGTAGAAATACTCAGAAATACAACTTTGAGCTTATTTTTCTCAAGATATGTCCTCTAACATCAGAAGAATGCCACAAGAACATGTTAACACCTAGAAAAACATTATTTTCATCGGAGTGGGTCTTTAAGTAGTGTGCTGCTTCTTTTTTTTAAGGCGCTAGATGGATTTTTCCTTGTGATGCTGACAGACGGCAACATAATTTACATCTCGGAAGGCGTAACCTCTCTGCTTGAGCATCTGCCTGTAAGTGAGAGAGTGTGTGTTTAGTTGTGTGAAGTCTATTTATATATTGTCCTGGAATTGTTCGATTTTTGTATCAGTCATATGTTCATATATAATCGTATTTGTTTCAGTCGGACCTGGTGGGTCAGAACCTTTTGAACTTTCTTCCAGTGGGGGAGCATGAAGAAGTGTATAAAGCGCTGGCCTCACACCCAGACATTGAGAAACTCAACTCCGATTACCACAAGTGTGAGTGTCCAACCTCAATCACTTCCAGATATCTGTTCTGCTGTGGTATTTCTAAAATGCTCTGTGCAAATGTGTGCTGCCTCTGCCTATTTTCACTGTAACTCAGTGATCTCAATTTAGATCGTCATGCACCTAAAGTGTTTTTTTGTTTTTGTTTGTTTGTTTGTTTTTCTTAGCCAAGAACCAGATGGAGTTTTGTTGTCACATCCTCAGAGGATCTGTGGATCCCACGAAACCTCCTGTATATGAATATGTCAAGTTTATTGGCAACTTTAAGTCACTTGCCAACAGTGAGTGTTTGTTTTTCCTCTTGATCTAGACTCACTGATTACGAAACCATATGTTAACTGCATTCATTACTGCCCACAACACATGTTTGTACTGACAATTTCCCTTAACACAAATCTCCACTTTATTCCTCTTCTATTCTTCTTTATTCTCAGTGCCTAATGCAACCCGGAATGGCCTTGAAGGGGTTTTGCAGCGTTCTTTGCAGCCGGCCTTCGATGATCCAGCCTGTTTTATTGCTACTGTGAGGCTCGCCAAACCCCAATTCATCAAAGTAAGCAGATAATCAATCAGAAAATTCAGAGAAAAAGTAGATCTGCATTTCAAATGCTCTCTCTGAAAGCAGATAACCATAGTCATGCATCGTAATAAGGTATTACTGGTGTAAACGCACTAATATTGACACAATTGATTGTGTACAGGAGATGTGCATGGTGGAGGAGCCCTATGAGGAATTCACATCTCGACACAGTCTGGAGTGGAAATTCCTCCTATTAGATCACAGGTTTTCACACTTACTCACAATATCACTTTCTCCATGTTTGTAACTCATCGTCAAGTTTTTTTCTCAATGAGGTCTGTGTGTGTCCTTGTGTTACAGAGCACCACCTATCATTGGCTATATGCCGTTTGAGGTGTTGGGAACGTCAGGCTATGACTATTATCATGTAGACGACCTGCATTCGCTGGCCAAATGCCATGAGCATTGTGAGTATAACTTGCACAAAAATACATTTGAGACTTTCAGTAGGTACCATATTCTTCATGTTTTTCTCTTTATTTGTCTGCTTGCAGTAATGCAGTTTGGAAAAGGGAAATCGTGCTATTATCGCTTTTTAACTAAAGGGCAGCAATGGATTTGGCTCCAGACTAACTACTACATCACATATCACCAGTGGAATTCACGACCAGAGTTCATTGTGTGCACGCACACTGTTGTGAGGTACGCAGAGGCACATAAATGTCTACACCATGCAATCAGACACCCACATACCCCTTTTCCACCAGAATAGTTTGCGTTCTGGAGCCAGAGCCTGTTCTCAGCCAGGCAAACTGGAGCCTGTTGCAAACCAGCCATGTGTTTCCACAGATTTGAGTTTTGGGGGCTGGAGTTGAACCTCTTTTCTTTTTCTACACTCTTTTCTGCAGTTCTGCTCTTATTTTCAGTTCTTTTTGTCTATAGTTATGCCGAGGTGCGAGCGGAGCGGAGAAGAGAGATGGGTATAGAGGAGTCTCCCCCTGAACTGACTGGAGACAAGGTGAGATGCTTGAGACAGAAACCTCTCTGAAATAGTCCATTAATGTGGTATAATGGACATGCTGTTAAACGGCTTATCTTAGGCAGATTGTGATTAAGTATTTTACACAACATTAGTGAAAATGACCAGGTCGTTAATCATTTTGAGGTTATCGCATTGGCGGTTAACTGTGGCTGCTTCTTGAATGATTAACATTCATGTGTCTCATTTGCAATAAATTATATTATAAAAAGAAATCTTTATTATATACCCTATTCTAAGTTTAAATTAAGTCAATTTAAGTATTATTAATTTATTTATCAGCAAGCATGCATTAAATTGATCAAAAGTGAAGTCAGTTATTTGTTCTTTTGAACAGTGTGTTCATCAAAGAATCCTGAAAAAGTCCACAAAAATATAAAGCAGCACAACTGTTTTCAACGTTGATAATAATAAAAGTTACTTGAGCATCAAATCAGCATATTAGGATGATTTCTGACAGATCATGTGACTGAAGACTGGAACAATGGTTGCTGAAAATTCAGCCTGGTCATCACAGGAATAAATTGCATTTTGAACTAAAGTATATAAAACCAGTCATTTTAAATGAATAATATTTCACAGTATTACTGTTTTAACTGTATTTTGATCAAACGAATGCCACCTGGGTGAGCGTAAGAGACCTTCAAACATGTAAGTATTTATATCTTAGTCTAAATTTTCCTCTCTCTCCATCTGTCTCAGATTTCTGGCCGTGAATCGCAGTTGAACACCTCCAGTCTGAAGGAGGTGCTGGAGCGTTTCAGTAACAGCCGCACACCCTCCACCTCCTCAAGGAGCTCCCGCAAGTCCTCACACACTGCAGTCTCTGACAACACCTGCACATGTAAGCATTAAAACTAGGGCTTGGCATTAACTTTTTTGCTCACCAGCCAAAATGATTAAAGTTGACTGTGGCATGCTAAAAATGTACTTGTGCTAGATTTACAACCCTTTTAAATGTAAAGGACCACTGTACACTAGGAATGCTCCGATACTCATTATAGGTATCGGCTCTGATACTGCCATTCTTTGCCGGATCGGGTATCGGTCAGACGAAACCGATCCAAATCCGATATTGTGCATATACTATTCTTATATTGTTAAGCTCACAAAAGGCACAAAAACATTATAAAGCACCATAAAGTTTTTGTGCACTATATTCTAAGTGTTCTGAAGTCATTCTATAGTATAATTGTGAGGTTGTAAATTCAAGTTCACGTAAACTCTTCCCTCCGCTGCGGCTGTCAATCATTTCTCCATGCAGCATTCAAACAGCGCGTCGCGCTCGGTTACGACAGTTAACACTAAACTCCAAGATGTTTCAATGTTACTATTATTATACTTGATCTGTAGATAAAGGGCGATGGTTTTATGTAGCCAGGCAAAAATAATTTCAGCATGCCTTCACCGTATACACCGGGACGTGATGGAGGAACAAATATTGTATTGCAGTTTTTGCGAGACCTTGTTTGTATGTCACGTCTTCCAAATAGTTAGACAACAACAAAAAATGAAATTCCCCAGCCTGCTTCTCCAAATCCACTCGTACTTTTGGGGAAGACATTTTAATTGGCTACCAAAGTAATTGAGCATAGAACATTGTTGGCACTTATACTAAATGGGTAAAAATTGCAATAAATAGGCTTAATTTTGGAGCCACATCATTTTCGTTATGCATTATTTGTTTTGGTTGTTTAAAAACACACACAAATTTTTTTTATCCGATTATTCGATTAACCGATCGATTAAGTGGTAGATTAATCGATTACAAAAAGAATCGATAGCTGCAGCCCTAGGTGCATCCCTACTGTACACACACCTCCTTCACTCTACAGACCCCCTTTACAAAGAATCCCATTGGCTTACATTGGCTGTGATACTAATACTGTCCTATTGAGGGGGGCACAGGATAAGAAATCTTTGTCCACACTTTTGCTCTCCGTTTCCATCAGTTAAAATGACAAATAAATGCGTATTCCAAGCGCTCCACAAAGTAATGCTCGTTTATACCATCTGTATAGCCTACTCAATATTGATCTGGTGAATGCACGTTTAAACAGTTTATTATACACCTAAGTTAATCCTTGTTCTAAACGAATGCGATGCTACATTGTAGCACACACACACAAACATACAGACAGTAGCTCACACGTCATGTACAGGTCACACTCGCACAGAAACGTATTGTCAATGCTGTCCTGTGATTTACAGTATCAATAAAATGGATGAGAAACTGAAAAGTTATAGCATTTCTTTGTTTTTTAAGTAATGAAAACCCACAAGCTTCACTGTTAGTAGAGAAACGCTGCGCAGACAGGTAGGATTGATTCACACACGCAGTCGCTCTCTCACTAATGCATTCAAATAAATGTAATCTCACTGTGCTACTTTAACTGAATCTGATTTAGGACAAGCAGAAATCTGTAAGAAATATAACGAACCATAGACATTTATCTGATGAAAATTAGCTGTTATGTCAGAGCAATAGCGCTTCAGGCGATGCGAGTTCGAGTCCCGGTTCGGGTTTCTTAAGCCAACATCAAAGTTTGTTCACAAATTTTAGCCTCTAGTTATTTCAGATGCCTTTTGAGAAGACTACAATTGAAATGTATTTAAAATTCAACCCGTTAAAGTGGCTAGTGGTTAGTGGACTGTGTTACACGTCACTGCTGAAATCCACCCACGTTTGGTGTTAAAGTCAAGCCCTGATTAAAACCAAAGTGTGCTGTTCTATTGGGTTGTCCTGATTTTGTGCCGGTTTGAAAGCGCGCGTATCTGTTTGATTTCCTCAGCAACTCCCTCCAAGCTACAGACTGATGTGAGCACTCCACCCCAGCCCGCTGTTGATATGACACCCCAACGTCGTTCCTCTTTTAGCACACAGGTGAGACTTGCCTCTTCATCAACATCAAAGTATTTAATTATCTTACAAAACACTTCTAACTTAACCTTAATTACCACCAGCAATGAGCATATCTTATTTGTTTTGATAGTCCATGAGTTCTCAGAACACCAATCAAACTGGATCTTCGGTCCAAATCAGCCAACATCAACATCAACCACAGCAGCAGGTTCAATCTACTGCCCTGGTGAGAATTGTTTTTTGTTCAGCAGTTTCAGCTTAATGCCCTGCTGAGAATTTTGTTTTGATTTGTTTTTTGTTTTATTTTTATCAATAGATCAGATAAGCCCCAATGAAACCCTTTGACACTTGCGTAGGATCACACCGGTGTGATTAGAACGTTGAGTGCATCACGTGATCAACTGCTAAATTCAAATGTGTTTTCGCGCTTTTTGGACGTGCTCAGCATTTGTCACACATCACAATTATTCAGTGTTTTCAACCACATAATGTTTATTTTAGGTTTCAGACATTTAAATACACATAATTTCTTGCAAAAAATACATTTAAAGTTTGTGAAATACACACTCATGTCTATTGAAGCGGCAATAATAATCCTTTCAATTGTAATTTGATGACTTGTTTTATTCATATCAGATACACATTGAGTAGATGACTATATACATTTTTTTGAAAAATCATCTTTTTCGTCAGCACCTGACCAATTAATACTAGCACTTACCTTTCCTATTCTATACCATTTGTTTTTTTTTCTTATTTAAATATATTTCTGTGTACTGTGTTAGACTAACTGAGACTTGTTACTGTATTGTATACTGTTGCCCTCTTGTTGGTCTGATTGCTTCCTTTGTTCTCCTCATTTGTAAGTTGCTTTGGATAAAAGCGTCTGCTAAATGATTAAATGTAATGTAACTATATAGTTTACTCTATTGTTTTCCCACTTCACCGGCAACTTACTTTCATGTATTTCGCGAGAAGTGGATGAATTTACGTGATGTAAAACTAACAGATCCGATTCTCTGAATTGCGACGCAATCTAACATGGCGGCGCCCATCGCGCATTATAAATCAACTAACGTGATCATCATAACGTGTTTTCTTTTTTAAACGACAAAACACAAAACATATTTGAAAATCGGAATATCAGATAGTTCATGATATAGTTAACAAGTTAAGTTATATACAAGTGAAAATTTTGAATAAAAAAATAAATAAAACCAATACATTTGTCATACAGCGCTATTGTGGCTGGCGGTGTGTCACGTGACAAGCATGACGCATCCGCTCGCATCGTCATGGAAATAATAAGGTGATATGTTCTAAAATAACAGTCGCCTTAAACTCATGGTGGGGGCTCAACTAGAAAAATTAAGAAAAACTATCTTTCTTTTTTTCCATGACACCATATTGTTTATCTTTCTTTGCTTTTTGAATGTAGTTCTCTACACAGTTGAATGCGATGCAGCACCTAAAGGATCAACTGGAGCAGAGGACACGCATGATAGAGGCCAACATTCAGAAACAGCAGGAGGAACTGAGACAGATTCATGAGCAGCTGCAGAAAGTGCAGGGTCCGGGCACTCAGGTACACACGCATAATTGTGTGAATGGTACCTTGACAACAAAACGGTCAATACGAACAGAGGCATGTGATTCAAATGGTGTCTTTCAGATGATATTGCAGCAGTCGGGTGGTGGACTCAGTGTACAGTTGCCTCAAGTTGGAGGAGCACAGACTAACATTTTAGGGGTTGGGGCACAGACTGGAGTCATAGCTATACAGGGCCAAAATGTGACGAGTACTGCACACAGTGGGACTGTTCCACAGCAACAGGCTCCTCGTTCCCTTCAGCAGAATCTACAGGGTTCTTCTGTTACACAGGTGAGGTCGTCTTTTTTCGGTTAGTGGTGTAAATGTTTGCTCTGGCAATGATTTGAATATGATTCTTTATTAAAAGATTCAATGTATGATGATAATGTGAATTTTGGTCACAATTCAGTGTTTCAGATTCGGTCAATTCATATCTTTTTAATATATATATATATATATATATATATATATATATATATGTATATATACACTACCATTTAAAAGTTTAGGGTCTGTAATATTTTTTTGTGTGTTTTTGAAGTAAGTGTCTTATGCTCACCAAAGCTGCATTTATTTTATTAAAAAATATTAAAAACCGTAATGTTGTGAAATGTTACAATTTAAAAGAACTTTTCCGTTTCAATCTGTCACATGATCCTTCAGAAATTGAGCTAATATAATGATTTGGTGCCCAAGAAACATCTTATCAATGTTAAAAATAGTTCTGCTGCTTAATATTAGGATTATTTTAATAGAAAGCTCAAAAGAACAGCATTTATTTAAAATACAAATTATATATACATATCAAAAGTGACACTTAAAACATTTAAAAAAACATTTAATTATATATATATTATAAAACAAAATTTTTATTTATTTTTTTATGTTTTGACTGTCACTTTTGATCAGATTAATACATCTTTGATAAACAAAACAAATCTTACTGACCCCCAACTTTTGAACGGTAGTTTATACACGTGTATATATGATTATTTATGATTTAACACAGCTATATAAATTTAAGGTATTTATCGCCAATCACAACTCTGTTGCAATTAGTTATTACATTGATTTATAGTTGTTAACACTCCTAAATTGACTGTTATAGATAGTATCTTTAGCTGTGTATTACCTAGAAGTTTTTAAAAAAGCCCATTAACAATGACATAATGTCTCGTCTTCCACTTCATGTGGTGACATCATCTAAATAGATGACGCAATTTTTCTGTCTCTCAGCATGGTCCTGTATATAATACCATGATGATCAGCCAGCCTGCCAATGCCAATGTTGTGCAGATACCAAGCAATTTGGCTTCAAAAATCAATCAGGGCAATGCAATAAACCGGTACAGTACATGTCTTTTTTCTCCTCTCTCTTTTACAGGACACTTTCTAAAATATATGCTTATTATCATTATTAATAATATAATTATTTCTTTCTTTCCCTGACCCTGTCACTCTCAGGTTTCCTTCTGGGCAGCATTTGGTCACCAAGATTGTGACAGCTCCAATGGCGTGTAATGCTGTCATGGTACCCACAACTATGTTTATGGGTCAGGTGGTGACGGCTTACAGCCCGTTTCCACAGCAACAAGGTCAGACACAGACCATAGCACTGCAGACTGCAGAACAACAGGCTCAAGCTACCTCATTACAAACAAGTCAACAGCAGGGGGCGACGCAGCAGCCAACAAAACATCAGCAACCATTTTTACAGGTAACAAAGCATGCACAGTTTCATTTTGAATCTTTTCAGAACTTGATTCCGTGATTCAGCACCACCAATTTGATATATATATATATATATATGTGTGTTTGTGTATGATTTAAAAAAAAAAAAACAGTAATATTGTTAAATATTATGACAGTATTCTTTTTTAATATATTTTAAAATCTAATTTATTCCTGTGATCAAAGCTGAATTTGCAGCATCATTACAGTCTTCAGTCTCACATAATCCTTCAGAAATCATTCTAATATGAGATTTGATGCTCAAAAAACATTCATTATTATTATTATTAATGGTTTTTTTGTAGGATTCTTTGAATAGAATTTATTTGAAATATTATCTTTTGTAACATTATAAATGTCTTTACTGTAACTTGATCAATTTATTTCATCCTTGATGAATATAAGTATTGATTTCTTTTATTTCTTTCCCCCAAAAAATAAAATATAAATTCTTACTGACCCCAAACTTTTAAACGGTAGAGTTTAATGTTATAAAAGCTTTCTATTTCTGATAAATGCTGTCTTTTGAACTTTCTATTCATCAAAGAATCCTGAAATAAAAATGTAAATAAATAACTGTTTTCCACATTAATTATAATGAGAAATATTTCTTGAGCATCAAATCATCATATCACTGTAGAAGGATTTCTGAAGAATCGTGTGACACTGAAGACTGGAGTAATGATGCTGAAAATTCAGCTTTGATCACAGGAGTAAATTACACTTTACTATATATTCGCATAGAAAACAGCTGTTTTAAATAATATATGTATATATTATTAAAATACATATAAATAAATATATATATATAATTATTAATATGTTATAATAATATTTCACATTTTTGTAGTTTTAATCAAGTAAATGCGGCCTTGGTGAGCAGAAGAGACTTCTTTTAAAAACATCTTACCATCTTCCAAAACTTTTGACTGGTTGTGTATATATATTATAGAGAACCACTGATCTGAACAAGCGGTTCATATTGAAACCATGTAAAACCACTTCCATCCATTTTTTTGTTTTGTTTATTTCAGTCGCATGTGAAACATTTCAGTCGACTTTAATTTTATGTTGGAGTTGGAATTTAATTTTAAAAAGTGTTTGACGCATATCTAATTTTCTGCTGTGTATTTGTCAGAACACGCGCCTTCTCCATGGCAACCAGTCTACACAACTGATCCTGCAGGCTTTCCCTATTCAGCAGCAAGGCACATTTACTCCATCACAGCAGCAGCAGCAACTGAAACCACACACTCAAAAACAGCAGAAAACAACCCCCTCTCACCAGACTGACAGCACTAGTGCCCAGTCTCAGTAACATAGATAAACACAAAGGCCAATCAGATGGAGGAGCCTGCTCACATCATCTCTTATGGATGTTTATTAGTGCTGAACTAATTTGAAAAAACAACCCTTCCTGTCAGCATCTTGAATGCTTTTCAGACTAGGAACTCCCTCAACATGGCAGCTGCGAGGAACACAACACCACCAGATGGACGCTGTGGCAAACATGCAGAATGTCTCACCAGACCAACAGGTGGTTGCCAAACTCATTATTTATTTCAACAACAGAAAGTATAGGATTGCTAGCCTTTGCATCGTCTTTGCCAAACAGCAAACCTCGTTCTCAGGCTTTCATTCTAAACAGCCCAAAGAACTGAGTCTATCTGTACAGTCTCGTGTACCATACAGTGTAAATACACAACCGTAAAAGAACAAAGCAAGATATTGAATATTTTATATGCTGCATGAAGTGTAAACTTTCATTTGTACTTCCAGTTTTGTTTTTTAAAGTATTACTTACATTTTAACGGTTTTATATTATGCATATAGTGATGCTTTCTACTTTTAACCCTTCCCTTACAATAGTCTCTTCACGTATAGTTAGGGTTCATAATAGATTGTCCTTGAGGGGTTTTTTTGAGGCACTAGAATTGTTTTAGATTTTTTTGGGGGGGAAATTATTATACCCCAAGTCTCTGACATACAGAAAAAGGCTCAGTTTCAGTTTATTTCTAATTATCAGTTTATTTCTAAAGACATTTGATGCAGAAGAATCAAATTGGACATTGTTTAAGTGCCAACATTTATTTAATTTGTTTAAAAAAAAAAACTATTTCCAGTTTTTGAATGTTAATTTGCTTTTTAGCAAAAAAGTTTTTTTGCACCTTTTCCCCGTTACATATAGCACTTATTGTGTTTATACACACTAAAATAGTCCATCCTTCTAGTAATTGTGACCTAATGGTTTAGTTTTTGTGTGCATGGATGGTACTTGTATTTTTCAGAGAATAACACGCCATAAATAAGCTTTCAAATCCTTTTATAAATGTTCTTCCTTATGGCTTTGGGAACTATGCAAGAAGCCACATCCAAGGCAGAGCGTTTCTAAATGTGTTATTGAGGACGGTCTGGAATACCTTTTAATTCCCATTTTCAGGAAAATAATTATTATATTGTCCTCTTCCTCGTTATATTTCCAAAGTTGTAATTTAAACCGAAGCAGGGTTATTGTGCAGCTGTGGAGTCTTAAAGTTAAGTGATCTTCCTCTTAACTGCTTGAATGTTTGTGTGTGTGTGTGTGTGTGAGTGAGAGAGAGAGAGAATTTAAAGTGCAGGCTATTATATCAATAACAGTTTGTGACTCTTCCAGTATCGCTGTGTGGGTTGCTACAGTGTGTATTAACCCCAGCGATGACCAATCAGTTCTTGCGTTGCAGTATCTCAGTATTCTAGATGTTTCCCCATTTTAGCTATATACCTCAGAAATGGATTTATATAAGAAGTATTCAAAGCAATTTTATTTTCATATGGCAAAAGACGTTCGTGTTAAACGGTATTGCTGTGTATAGACCGGTAACAATGTTAGAAGACTTGTTAGAGCTGAAAGGTTTATGGAAACTGAACAGATTTTGATATTGTTGACTTCTGGAATTCCAAAAGTGGAGATGCCCCTAAAGTAGATTTCCAGTCCACTTTCCTCTAATTTGTCCTATTTACTTTCATAGTTGTGCTGTGCGTTTCATTTTGTTGTGCACTGAAACCCTCTAGTGTGTTAGTTGTTACTGTTGGAACCGATGTTTCATTGTGTGTACAATCATAAATTACCCCCAAAAAAGCTACTGACAGGTTGAAGAGATAATTAGGACTTTAGATGCCATTCCTGGATATTTCAACCGTCTGTATCCAAAATTAACTTTTATTTTTTAACACTGTTTGTATTCCTGTATGCAACCAAAAGAATGTGTGCTTCCAGAATATGATGGTTATTGGTTGTAGCCCTAGAAATTTGATCAGTGCTTCTGATTTCTGAGTAGATAATCAGTGAGTTGAGTGAATGATAAAATAATAAATCATTAAAGGAGTAAAAGTCTTAAGGTGTTACCATAACCTTTTTTTTTATTATTATTTTGTTCATACTGAATTGCTGTGCACCAAAACCATGTTACCAAGTCATATCACCTTCAATGTGACTGAATTTGTTGGAATTGTCCTCTGTTGGTTTACCAAAAAAAAGAGAGAGAATTTTCCCTTCACTATATTAAATCTTGAAATAAAGAAAACAATGTTATTCACATTGTCTACGTAGATCTCTTCAAGATTTGCTTTTTTAAGTGACATTTACGCTGCAAAATGCGGTACCAAATGAAATTGCCAAAATAATGACCCTTTGCAAACTGCAAATTGTCTGCCATTTTTCAGACAAACAGATAGTCCCACCATTGGATTAGCTGTTCCAAATTAGAAGCTGGATATTAAAACAAACATCAATGTATTTTAACACCATTTTCTGTATTTTAAAAATACACATTTCATGCAATGGCTCCTTTTCACTTTTCATTTATTCTGTATAAAAACGGGTACATCATTCCTTACTGCTATTTTATTTCTGACATACTCTACAAGTTGAAAAAATAGCTTGACACATCAGATATTTACAAAGTCAAATCTCATAGCAATTCAAGTTATTTGTCACAGTCAACCTTCAAAAACATTGAATTTTTTTTTTTAAACCAACATCCCATCCTTCGAACGTGGTTTAGTTGGCTGAATAATTTAGCATAAACCTTGGATCTACTGGAATAATTAGCAATGAGCAGATACCTGATATGCTTCTCATCTTTTAAGCATGTTTCGAGAACAAAAACTTATGGTTTACTGCAGCCAAATTAGCCACTTTTGAAGAATAGAACCCAGTCAGTTATTACATCAAACAATGTACATTTCAAATATGATTCTCAGTTTAACACCCCAACACATTTTATTTATATACACACATTCAACAGCTCAAACGTTCAATTCCAAACTAAAGAAAATGTAAACATCCTAGTTTTCTTTTCATCATTAATAAATATGATATGATATAATACTCGCCTGAGAGTAATGACATGCTGAAAACAGTATGCATGAACGAGAACCTCCGTTCGTTGGTATTAAGTGCTTCAGTTAGAGACACATTACACAAGATTCACTTTGGGTTTAACACCTTTACCACTTACCCACCTTACTGTTACTTGCACTAAGACATAATCGCAGTTGTTCACCCAGTCAAACACAAAGACAAAAGAATACAGAACACGACATCATCACAGAGACACTCACTGCACGATGATGTCATCAGTAGAGCTGGTCATTTATCTGGTGAGGTAACATTAGGTTCTATATCTAAATGCTTGCCTGGCCATGGTAGCTGCTCATGCACTCAAAATACTATAATCAATACAATAAAATGGAGCCCAGCTGCATTTAGAAAAAATATGTTATATGGCTGGACATGCTGTGTCTTGAGTAATTTGAAATATAATGGAAGACAAGGCTAATGGAGTTGCATTGAGCCAGCAGAGAGCAGGGAATCTTAGGAGATGCCCTTAAATGCCACAAAGTCAGTATTTAAATGGAGGTTAAGGCTTTTAGGTCAAACCCATTGAGAGAATGATTTTGAGGCAAAACAAAGAACGTGATGTCATTTATATGCTCTGATGTTCCAAAAAAACTTCATTTGTCGCCTGCAGCAGGGGTTGAGTTGAGGAGGCTGTTGAGCTGCCCACAGAACTCAGCCGTTGTGCCCTCTCCAGGTCTGGAGGAGCAAACGCCTCACAGCTGCCACTAGTGCTGAGATTCAAGTAATCCTGCAAGACACAAATACAAACCTAACTGAAGAAACTGGTTCAATGTCAGCAGTTTTTGAGCTGAGCTGAGTCAGAACGTACATGTTTGGTGGTTTCCGACAGCAGGAGTTCAGTCCTTTCCACCAGTTTTTTAAAGGTTGGTCTCTTCAGAGGGTCAGCACTCCAACACCATCTCATTACCTCGTAACTGATAATGCATACACACAAGCCTCATTATCATGCACATCAGACAAATGTTTGGGGTAAGATTTAAAAAAAAAAAAAATATATATATATATATTTTTTTTTTTATTCAACAAGGATGCATTAATTTGATCATTTATAATGTTACAAAAGAACAAAACTTCCACAAACACTTCCAACAAAGAATCCTTAAAAATGCATCATGATTTCCACAAAAATATTAAGCAGCACAACTGTTTTCAACCTTGATAAAAAGAAATGTCATAAAATCAGCAAATCGGAAAGATTACTGAAGGATCATGGTTCAACTGAAAACTAGTAATGATAATAAAAGTAATGATGCTGAAAAAGCTTTGCCTTCACAGGAATAAATTACAGTTCAGTTAAATTGTAATAATATTTCACAATATTATTGTTTATTGGTGAGCATAAAAATTAAGATTAAATTTGAGATTTAATAATCTCACCAACCCTAAACTTAAATACTGACTGCAGGCTGTTTAAAGACAATTATAATTCTCTTACATTTCAATTGGGGCAAACTCAGGCTCAGTCATTCTGTATCCATCTTGTATCATCTTATAGAATGTGGATCCAACTTGAATCCCCGGATAAGGCGTGTTACCTGCAGGCAGATTTTCACCTCATAAGACCTTTATAATGAGTCACTTATAGGCCTTGGTTTAGGAGATGTATTCTGGGTATGTGTGATATTTAATAGGCCTGGTACCAGCTCATACAGACCCAGAGAGAAGATCTCCCACAGTAAGATGCCATAGGACCAGACGTCACTCTCAAAAGTGTACACGCAAGCAAACAAGCTCTCTGGGGACATCCATTTCACTGGTAGACGTGCCTAAACCGGAAACACATCATTCATGATAATGAACAATGCTTTAATTAAAACCTGCGTGGATTTCTCCAGAATACAGATTTCTTTCAGTTTTTTGTCAATAAAATGTTAATGGGGTCCAATGTTGCTTTGTGCTCCACTGACTTTCATTAGGTTTGAAACAACATGAGGGCGAGTAAATCATTTTGGGTGAACTATCCCTTTAAATCAATGGTGTTTTTGCTACATAAAATCTCCAATATAATTCTGAATATGCTGGATATTAATATAGAGCCTGACAGTAGGTGTGAGTGTGGTAACGGTTATACAACACTTCCTTACATTTCCTCTCAGGACGTAGCTGGAATCTCTAGTGATGTCACGTGCCAGACCGAAATCACATATCTTTGCTACCCGACCCTGAGTCAGTAAAACATTCCTAGCGGCCAGATCTCTGTGGATACACTAAATATACATGGCAACACACATAAATGGACATTTATTGGTCAAAAACATATGTATTCACTGTAGAACTGTATATGAAAACGAGATAACATTACAAAGTCTGTGTGTTCAACTCACTCTGAAACTTGAGAGGTGAATAAATGTAATTACACACTCACATTTTTGGATGTGAGGAAGTCCATGCCTTTAGCCACTTGATATGAGAAGCTGAGTAAATCCTCAGTATCCAAAGAGAGATCATCTTTGTCATCACACCATTCTAAGAGAGATGATACAGATTGAAAAGTGTAAAATAATGACAATTGGTGGTAAAAGTGGCTGTATTTTCTTGGGATGGGCCTTACCTGTCTGATTCGATCTCTTCTGATACGACCTCATGGGCATGTAACCATTATCAGTGCCCTCTCTGTGTGTGCACACATGCATATAATAGATGGTGTATTACATTACAAAAACCTAACAAAGGACATCTATACTCTTATAAATGTTGCACCACATTTCTCAGACACACGTCTTACCTTGAAGGCTGTATTTGGCTGAGCAGATTTTTGTAATATCCATCGCCTGTTTTGGAACTGAAAAACGCATCCCGCTTTCTTCTCAGGAAGTTCAACATGTCGCCATAGCAACAGTATTCTGTGATCACCAGAGTTGGGCCTGTTGAAAAAATGTGTCACTTTAACAATTATCAAATTCCCCCTCGAGGAAAAAGTCTCCCAAAAATTTACATTTTGCCAAAATATCTCTTTCTCATATCATTGTGTGACTTTTTTCCGTGAAACATCAAAAGTGTAGGCAGAATGTCTAGACTGCTCTTTTCCATAATATAATTTTTGATCGTTTGGTAAGCTCTAAGTATGACAAAAGGCACCATAAATGTGTTATAGTACAAGTCTTATGAAGCCTATACAATAAGCTATATACAAAGCTATACAGTATTACCCTATAAAAAGCTATACAAAAGATTTTTGTGAAGAACAGACCATAATTTCGAGAGACAAATGCTACTGTTTTCTACTTTTGTGGTGCAGTATAAATCCACTTCCACTTTCCTTATTTGGAAAAGTGCAGTAATTTCCTAACATCTCCTGTTGTGTTTCAACCAGAAGAAAGAAAACAATATGGGATTGGAATGACATTAGGAACATATCTTATAATAAACTTAAACTTAACCTGTCACCATCAATATTAACCACGTACCTCCTACTGTACAGGCGCCAAGCAAGTTGACAATGTTCATGTGGTTGCCAATGTAGCTCAGAACTTTCAACTCTGACATTAGAGCCTCTTTCTCAGTGGAGTGAGCGCTCGCTTTGGGAAAAATCCACAGACACACACAAACATACACAGATACATTATATAGACATTAAAGGTTTTGAAAACCAATGATTGGAGTCTTTATAAACAAATACTGCCCGGCAAATGTCTATGATTGTCTATGATTAGAGTTATGATTGGATCATTATTGCAGTGATTATTATGTTTCTAGCATGCTATATGTTTGGTAATAGTTCTTCTAACCCTAATTGATGCACCTCTTTATGGAAATAACATCACAACATTTATTTCCATCAAGAGGTGCATCAATTATTGGCACATCACAAAGACTTGCTACATGCTAGAAAGATAATATTTCTGAAACATAATATCACTGAATAAATCATAGACTTAAGCATTTGCCTTAAAAATCCAAAAAGTAACTTTTTGGCCGGGCAGTGTACTTTACACATGTTAAGTCATACATCCAGACATATACTCACGTTTTAGCATTTTTACAGCAACAGTGGTCACTGTGTCAGCTGATAGGAGCCCATATGCAGTAGCTGCCACCACTTTACCAAACGCTCCAGAGCCAAGGATTCTACCTTCATCATGACAAACAAACAAACATTTATCTCTTATGTACCATTATTATGTTCAAATTCATACCATTTTAATAAGCATTCTACTAGATGATTATTATAGTTATATAGTATTATAGGACTTCTAATTATTACTGTTAAAATGCTTGTGGTCAGTATTTTTTATTATGATATACACTCACCTAAAGGATTATTAGGAACACCATACTAATACTGTGTTTGACCCCTTTTCGCCTTTAGAACTGCCTTAATTCTACGTGGCATTGATTCAACAAGGTGCTGAAAGCATTCTTTAGAAATGTTGGCCCATATTGATAGGATAGCATCTTGCAGTTGATGGAGATTTGTGGGATGCACATCCAGGGCACGAAGTTGAGTTGAGATCTGGTGACTGTGGGGGCCATTTTAGTACAGTGAACTCATTGTCATGTTCAAGAAACCAATTTGAAATGATTCGAGCTTTGTGACATGGTGCATTATCCTGCTGGAAGTAGCCATCAGAGGATGGGGACATGGTGGCCATAAAGGGATGGACATGGTCAGAAACAATGCTCAGGTAGGCCGTGGCATTTAAATGATGCCCAATTGGCACTAAGGGGCCTAAAGTGTGCCAAGAAAACATCCCCCACACCATTACTCCACCACCACCAGCCTGCACAGTGGTAACAAGGCATGATGGATCCATGTTCTCATTCTGTTTACGCCAAATTCTGACTGTACCATCTGAATGTCTCAACAGAAATCGAGACTCATCAGACCAGGCAACATTTTTCCAGTCTTCAACTGTCCAATTTTGGTGAGCTCTTGAAAATTGTAGCCTCTTTTTCCTATTTGTAGTAGAGATGAGTGGTACCCGGTGGGGTCTTCTGCTGCTGTAGCCCATCCGCCTCAAAGTTGTGCGTGTTGTGGCTTCACAAATGCTTTGCTGCATACCTCGGTTGTAACGAGTGGTTATTTCAGTCAAAGTTGCTCTTCTATCAGCTTGAATCAGTCGGCCCATTCTCCTCTGACCTCTAGCATCAACAAGGCATTTTCGCCCACAGGACTGCCGCATACTGGATGTTTTTCCCTTTTCACACCATTCTTTGTAAACCCTAGAAATGGTTGTGCATGAAAATCCCAGTAACTGAGCAGATTGTGAAATACTCAGACCGGCCCGTCTGGCACCAACAACCATGCCACGCTCAAAATTGCTTAAATCACCTTTCTTTCCCATTCTGACATTCAGTTTGGAGTTCAGGAGATTGTCTTAGACTTTGATTGTACTTACACCCCTAAATGTATTGAAGCAACTCCCATGTGATTGGTTGATTAGATAATTGCATTAATGAGAAATTGAACAGGTGTTCCTAATAATCCTTTAGGTGAGTGTATTTTAGTCTCTTATCCTCACTATGGCTGGATTTATTTGATTGAAAAATACAGTATAAACAGTAATATTGTGAAATATTATTACAATTTAAATAAATGTTTTCTGTTTTAATATATTATATATTAAAATGTCATTTATTACTGTGATGGCAAAGCGGAATTTTCTCTAATATGCTGATAAATATTCTGATAAATATTTCTTTCTATTCACCGAAGAATGCTATATGTATGATACACACTTTTAGTCAGATTAAATAATGAGCTATTGAGTAATCATAACGTTTAGATTTATGTGTAATATAAATGCCTTTACCAAAGCGGAGTCTTTCCCGTGGAAACTCCCATTTGGGGTCATAAGGCAGCTGCGTCGGGTCTATGTAGGTATAACTGTTGCCATCAAAACTGTCAATCACCTTCCAATGGATCTCATATTTGGGTTTCTATGGCAGTGTACAAAATGGCAAGCAGGAAATAAAAGTTAAATAAATAAAACCAGAATTATTGCTAACAATTTAAGCTATGTCATAAGTGTGTAGTGTGAGTGTTGTGTACCTGCATGTATTTGAAGAGCAGAACCACCACAAGTAAGCTAAGCAGAACAGCAGTGGAGACGACACCAGACAACAGAGGTGTGAAGAGTTTATGGGGCACAGTTCTTTCTGGGGAGAGAAACGCATGCCCACACATCCATGAATATACAGTACACACTCACAAATATAAACACCACATCTGCATTTAAACAATAATACTTCTTAATTCACAGTACCATATTAATAAAGTGAGTGTTTTAAATCTGTTGTTCAGAGGATTTTAAGAGCTTAGCATCAGTATAAAATCCTAATGTGCACATGCTGCACATAATAATAATCCCTCATATCTGTCGACAAGCTCAGTGTGTGTCTGAGAACATTCAGGGATTATCTGTTAACAGCCATGTGTGTGTGTGTGTGTGTGTGTGTGTGTGTGTGTGTGTGTGTGTGTGTGTGTGTGTGTGTGTGTGTGTGTGTGTGTGTTTGGGCGTGAACGGGTTTGTGTCTCTCTACTGATATCAATAACACTATATGGCAAGAATGGCCCACCTCAACCAAAATAGAACATTTGTTTTGGTGTTTGTGGGGGGAAATTAGCTGATAATTAGCTATGAGAGCTAAATTCAGTTAGCTTAATCTGACAAAGCCTCAATGTCCTTGAAGGTAAAAATAATTCATAAATTAGGTAAATAAAGTTTAATTGTATCTTAATTGTAATGAATTGCTCACTTCAACAAAAATAGAATGTTTGTTTGTTGTGTCTGGAGAAATTAGCTAATAATTAGCTAAGGGCTAATAAACTAAATGAAGTTAGTTTAATCAGACAAAACCTCCATTTGGGGGATGTCCTTGAAGGTAAAAAAAAAAGATTCATAAATTAGGTAAATAAAGTTTAATTTTAAATGTTGACTGTATAATTTAATATGCAGTACATACACTACCACTTATGTTTTTGAAAGAAGTCTATTATGCTCACCAAGCCTGCATTTATCTGACTAGAAATAAAGTTTAAAAAAACAGTGATTTTGTATAAAAAAAAATATTATAGTTTAAAATATCTGATTTATTCTACATCTGGCATCTAAATATTTGATTCTATTTTAATATATTCTAAATTGAAATGTATTTCTGTGATGGCAAAGCTGAATTTTTAACATCATTACTGCCACATGATCCTTCATAAATCAATATAATGTGCTGATTTGGTGCTTAAAAATATTTCCTATTATTTTCAGGGTTTTTGGATGACTAGTGGAAAAAATATATTTGAAATAAATGATTATTACTGTCAGTTTTGATGCATTTAATGCATCCTTGCTGAATAAAAGTATTAATAATATTTTTTTCTTTTCTTTTTTTTTAATCTAATAAAACACTACTTTGGTTTGTTTTTTGTTTGTTTGTTTTTTTGAGGTCACAGTCATGTGTGACCAGACTGCATTTCCCACTATGTCATAATAAAATACCAAGACAAAGCATCTATTACAGACCTAATGTGCATCCTTTGCTTTTCATTTTGTTGCATTAGTGTGAAAAAAAGCTTCCTGCCTTATCAGTAAGTGGAAAAAAAAGGAAAATAAATATGAAATTGCCTCCATTTTTTCCTGCTAAAATCACTTGAACACACATCACATAGTAATTATGATTTCTGAACGTGTAAACAGCAGCTGAAAGCAGCATTAGGGTTTGGGTAAAGGACAGTCTGTAGAAAGCTTCTTCTGTCTGGCCTTAAGATTGAACGACTATGCCACACTGACACTGCTGTAACAACTGCATTGTATTATACAACATGAATTATCTTTTTGGACCCTGATAATTGGTGTTTACTGCTATATTTGTGATTAGCTTTATATAAACAATAGAAGTCTAAGGAATATCCTCATTTAGATAAACATGAATGAATCTCACCGCTGATGGAAAAGAGGGTGTAGGCATGCTCGCTCTGGGTTTTTGCCACACACTCAAGAGTGTGAAATTTTCCTTTGCTGATATTAAGTCGACTTTCCACCTCGCTTCGTCCAAACTCTGATCCTGACACTGTTACAACAGCAACTTCCTCATCGGCCTGCGTCGCATTCAACAGAAGGGAGCACCTGTCAGAGAATATAAAGAGCCAAAAGAATATGACAAACAGCTATTATATCTACAATGTTTACCAGAATTTATCATCTAAGAAACACTTCTATTCAAAATGGCTTTTTGACACTGCAATCTCAATAGTTTGTTTACTACTTAAGTTAGAGATGTGTGCGGTTACACTTTATTTCAATGGTCCACTTTAGACATTCTATTAACTATAAGTGACTTTGCAACTACATGTCAACTATTTCTCATTAGAGTAGACTGTTAGGTTAGGGTTAGGTGTTAGTAGAATAAGTTGACCTGCAGTTACAAAGTTACTTATAGTCAGTGGAATGTCTGTTGGAGGAGCATCAAAATAAAGTGTTAGCAGATATTAAGCATACAGTCTACTAATAATCTAATGAGAGATGGTTGACATGTAGTTACTTAGATAGTAGAATGTCTAAAATTGACCATAAAAGTTGACATAAAGTGTTAGCATGTGTGCTATTGCATGGTTGTTGGGTGTGAGTGGCTTATCTTAGCCTGTGCGTGAGTCATACCGTGTATGTGGCGGCTCGCAGTAATACCAAGATATTTTGGGGACAGGATATCCTGATGCAACACACCGCACCTGTCCATCAACCGGCCCCTCCTGGGAAACTATCACTGGTTTACCTGAATGAGAGATTTACTGTATTCATATAAAGACTATTAAAATCGAGAAATTTAGGTAATCTGGCAATTTGAAAGCTAAAATCCTCTCGATCCTCTGAACTCACACATAACATGGACGGTGAATGACTGATTGACAGATGCATATTTGTGATTGGCTGAGAAAGTGTAGATCCCGCCCTCTGATCCATGAATTCGAACCAGCCTCAGTTCACTGATGAACCTGCAAAATTCAGACGAACGATACTCAATGTCTGTTAAAGATTCACATATAAATGTTTGAAATTAGGTCACTAATGCGAATTGTAAAACTAATGGACACTCGTAGTTAACAAATGGACATGAAACTTTTTTTTAAATTGTGGTTAATTGTATAAGACAAAGTGTAGTAGTAGTTCAAACAAAAAGTTTTATTTAATAGTTATACAAATAACACAAATTGTATTAATATTTGGAGGTAAAATTCTCCTATTTCCTAACTTACAAGCGTAAAAGGTTATTTACTTTTTGTTGGAACATTTTCAAATATTTCCAAGAGTTTGGTCAATTTATTGAGTCACTTCACAAGTTGTTTTGAAAAAATAAAAACGGGGGTAATATGTATATTTTTATGGCCAGTCATATTTGAAAGTAGGCCCCAATTAAATAATGGCAATAATATTCAAAAATATATATAATAATAATTATAATCATATAATAATAATATTTTAAATAATAATAATTTCAGTGATACATTTTTGTATCTATTTCACAGTTTGTGATGAGGTAGGACAATTTTGATAAAAATAGTAATAATAATATAATACCACAATATAATTATAATAGATATTTTTATGTTTATTGACTAAATCTGTTATTTGCCGTCTATCCGAATTATTAAAATTTAAGAGAAAAAAAATAATGTTTGGTGTTTTCTGTGAGGAAAACTAAAAATACATGTTTTGTCAAGTGTTCATTTAATGGTTTACTTTGGGCTTTTAACATACCAGCTTTAAAGAACCAGTAGCAATAAGATAGGATCAGTTTTGTGTTTTGTGTATAAAAACACTGGTGGAGTTACCTCAGAATTGACTGTGTGTGTTTGTGCAAGTATGTGTACCTGTACTGCTGGTTGTGCAGTGTAATGACGTGCTCGGATGTGTTTTTGAGCTGTTGGTTGTTATACGACCAGTAGATTTCAGAGGGTTTGGGGTATGAAGTCATCTCCACGCTAAGGGTCAGACTCTCTCCCTCTCGCACCTCCGCTACACTGTCCTCTCCCTCTGTAAGGTTAATGAAACCACGCTCTGCCACAAATACACACATAAACAGATATTCCGTTGTTTAGCCAGGGACGTGTCTTTTGCTGAAAAGGCCAAGGTTTAAAGATGCAAGGTTAAAGTAAAACCCATGAATCTATCAACTTAAAGGCGAGACTTCTATATCCACATTTCAACAATCGTCATATTGAGTGTTACAATTTAGCCCTTTCGTGTTACTACAAGTCTTGCCCTTCTTGCTCTCTGGTTAAAGTCAATATTATTGAGAAGATACAGCTTAATCTCACATTTCTTACCGTAAACCTCCAGATTGACAGTTGCCATGGAGACACCCTTCTCATTCTTCGCATTGCATTGATAGACTCCTGAGTCATTCATCTTCACAGAATTGAATTTTAGTGTTGCTGAGCGCAGATATCCTCGAGAATCAGGCAGGACGTTAGAGTTAGTTGTTTCCTTTGCTGTCTAAATCATTATTGACAACATTAGTCCAGGTTAGGTACTGTAGTAAACAATTTAAGATATGCAACAGGTGTGTGGATCTAACCGATTCCGAAGGGATACTCCAGTTCAGGTAGAAATCATGGTTGATGTTGATGCTGCTACAGGTGAGCTCAAACCCCTGATCCTGGATCAGAATCACATTTTCCATTCTGGATAGGCTGATCACTGGCACTGTCTCCGGGACTGTATTACAAAAACAATAAATATGCAATAAAGCATATAGGCAAATATATATTGAGATATTTGTAATGATATAATATGACAATGATACACCACTGTCAGAAGTTTAATGTTTTTGAAAGACATCTTTTATGCTCACCGGGACTGCATGTATTTGATCAAAAATACAGTAAAACAGTAATATTGTGAAATATTATTACAACTTAAAATAACTTTTATTTAGTACATTTAATTTTTTTATATATATATATATATATATATATATATATATATAATTTTCTATTCTTTGAAGAATAGAAAGTTCAATGAACAGCATTTCTTTGAAATAGAAATCCTTTGTAACATTATAAATGTCTTTACTGTCACTTTTGATCAATTTGATGTGTTCTTGCTAAATGTTTTTATTTATTTATTATTCAAAAATCTTGAAAAATCATTGATGATAATAAGAAATCTTTCTTGAACACCAAATCAGCATATTAGAATGATATCTGCTTTTCATCAAATTCAGCTTTACATCACAGGAATAAATTACATTTTAAAAATATTTAATAATATTTAAATATAGTATACATAATATTTTAGATTAAACAAATGTAGACTTGGTGAGCATTTAAGACTTCTTTCAAAAACATTTTAAAAAATCTTAATTATTCAAAACTTTCATATTCATGTGTGTCCACTGCAGAAAGTACATTTGCTTATGGTATCATTCTCTTTATCAACTCTCTCTAACTCTTTCCATCTAACAAAGTGGTTCTCAAATAGTGAGTTGCAGGAAAAAGGCACATAATCATATAATCACGCCTAATAAGATAAGCATAATATTAAGAGAGAAAACATTTTTCCCACATTTTTGTTTACTTTTGTACAATAAACAATTTTAGTAGGCTACTTTATGTGGTCGCTTTTTAATGTCCAATCTAAAATCAACGAACAAAACTAGTCAAAGGGATAGTTCACCCAAAAACAAAAATCGTAGGCTATCATCGTTTGCTTACACTCACACCATTTCAAACATAGACCTATATGACTTTCCTTCTTCTGTGGAACACAAAATAAGATATTTTAATGAATGTTTTTTTTTCCATACAAAGAAAGTCAATGGGTCTACAGCTGCACCAAGCCGACATCAAAGATGGGAAACCGAAACCGAAACTAGAGGAGTGCAGTCTGCAGATATACAATTACAAACCGTAAAGAAAGCAGCGCTTGCTTACCATTTTGAATATCAAGCACGCTGATCAAAATATGCGTGCATCTGAATGCTCATGTAAGATGACGTAAAATAATATCAGTCTTCTGTTCTGTCTGTACCGTCTTGACTTCTTTGCTCGCTTTCATCACTTTGCGCTGTTATTCTCGTGCACTGACTCGTTCGCTAAGCTGAAAAGCCAATCAGAGTTCTCTCTCTCACCGACGGCCAATCAACATGCTGAATCGGCCCAAAAAACCCAAACGGCGTCCGACTAGAGCCAACGGTGTGCAGCGGGAAAGTTACTTTTAAAAGTAATGCATTGAGTTACTCCCTAAAAAAGTAACTACTTGCGTTACTGAGTTACTTTTTAAGGAAAGTAATGCGTTACATCACTTTTCCGTTACTTTTTTCTAACCTGGACTGGGCTTACTTGTTTGTTCTTTAATAACAATAAAGCTCTATTTTTGGCAAATGTAATGGCCCTTTTACACTAAAAAACTGAAATGAATAAGCCTCAGGCTGAAAGAAATACAAATTCACGCCTGTACAGGAGAGGGCGCAGTTCAAAAACACTTTTCAGCTGTTCTGCCATTCTGAATTGAAGAAGAATAGGATGCAGCAGAAAAAAGTTCAACACGAAAATGAAACACGAATGTGATGTTTATCTAAAGTCATTTTTGTTTGTTGTTATGGTTGAAGTGGATAATTGAATGTCAGCAGCAAAGACATTGGTTAATAAAGTGAGATTAAATACAGAAAGTATATTTGTGTATAATTATTGCAGGTTTGAGTAATATTCAGAGATTGCATTTCACTGTTTTTATAAATTTTGGGTAGGCTAATACAAAATCAGGTTGTTTTTTTGGGGGTTTTTTTTGCAACTGATAAGAGTAAATGTCAGCTTACGTTTATTCTAAAACTAATAACCATCATGTTTACGCAGAGAACACAATGCCTGTGAACTTACGATTCCTCTCAACATATAAACAACTTGCGTTACTTATTTGAAAAAAGTAACTCAAGATATTTTGTTGTAAATTTAAAAGTAATGCGTTACTTTACTTGTTATTTGAAAAAAAGTAATCTGCTCAAGTTACTTGCGATGGATGCTCAAAAATGACCCGACATTGCCTGGCTGCCAATCGGCTTGGTTTGTCCCGGCCTTACAATAACACTGGGCTCCATTCACTTTCATTTTATGGACAAAAAAATATTTTTCAGAATATTCTTCCTGTTCCACAGGGAAAAAATAAATACATACAGATTTAGAATAATTTGGGTGATTAAATGAAAACTATGCCTTTAAGAACCACTGCTCTAACACACACATACACACACACCTAGCCGCACATCCAAGTTATAATGGCTTGATTTCACAGGTTTTTCATCCATCTGCCCTGCACAAACGTAGCAGCCATCAAAGGCTTTGGAGACGTTTCTTATGGTGATCCCTCTCTGAGGGTGTGTGATGTAGGTGAGGCCAGCTGGTAAGGCTGTGCCAGCACAGGTCAACAGGGACAGGTGATTGACAGCTGGATCTGTTACTAAACAAGGAATAGTGCAATCCCCTCCTTCCCTCACCAGAAGCCCATTCACCATGGATTGCACAAAAGCGTTCCTCAAATCTGCCAAAAAAAGTGAGACATTTTAGGTAGAAAACATAGAGAGTGATGAGAAAGGGAACAAAAGATATGCAAAACAAAAGAGACCATGAGGAAGAAAAGTGAAGAAAAAAAAGCATTGCAAAGGGGCGTTACATTAAACACTGGAAGGACTTGTCTATGAGGAAATAGTAAAAAAAATAATAATAATTGAGTGTGTGCAAGAGGTTTATCATACAATTCGGCTGTTCAAAAACCTATCATTCAATGACAGTTAACAATAATACAATTAAAAGAAATTAAACCACATCCACACTAAGGTGGGGTTTGAGTACACAGCTTAAGGACATGCATTTGTGCTTTTACAAAAGACCTATTCAAGTTTTAATACTCCTTCAACAGCGAAGTGTGGGAATTGAGGCCAAAAAAACAAATAAACCCCTCAGAATCAAAGAGAACTGTGTGAACATTCAGACCTTTCACGTAGACATAGATAGAGCTGCTCTCTCCCGTTAGATTGTTCTCACAGGTGTAACGGCCCATATGCTGTATCTGTGTGGAGGTGAGAAGGATGACACTGGCTCCGTCTTCCTTTAGCTCTCCATCGATTTTCCGACCTTTGTCCCGCAGCCATTGCACTATGCCCATGCTTGCCTCTGCATTGTCATGACAACGGAGTTCCAGTTGTCCACCTTTAAGTATCACCAGATGAGGGGCATCGGGAGTGATAACAGGTTTAAACCACCCTGGAATACAAACCCACATCAATATGTTCACTGTGCATACCAAGTCAGGTCTAATCAACGGCAACATCCTGCAATCAGTTAATGCATCACTTTGTTGACAGTCAACAAACCTTAGGAAGGTGAGATAGTCTTTATGGTAGACACGGTGCACTGTGATAATTAAGCTGTGAAAAGCTTAAACCCGCAGCTGATCTTATTCTGCTCTGAACATTTTCATTATGAAAAACTCCTGGATCTCAACAAGTGCCATGAAAAAACTAACTAAGAGAGAAGAAATTATATTTAGCATTAAGTAAATGTTTAGATTATTAACATTTAAAAATATATATTTTAATACATGTTTTTTATGTCAATTATGGACACATTTTTCTGTGCAATAACTTTATTATATATAAAAAATAATACTAGTGCTTTTTCTAATTAATTTACACTATGGTTCAAAAGTTTTATTTTATTTTTAATGAAAGAAGCCTCGTGCTCACCAAGGCTGTATTTATTTGATCAAAATATAGTAAAAAACAGTAATATTGTAAAATATTTTTAGAATTTAAAATGACCCCTGGCGTTTTCTATTTAAATATATAGGCTATTCTAAATATATTTTAATATATTCCTTAATTTCAAATGTAAGTTTGTGCAAAGTACCCCAAACAAGTGCAAAGTGTAAAGTTTTAAAGAACAGCATTTAATTGAAATAAAAATCTTATGTAATAATACAAATGTCTTTGCTTTTTCTTTTTCTTTAAAAAGAAAATCTCACTGAAAAATCTTACCCCAAACTTTAAATGGTAATTTATGTCAACAAAGAATGTGATCTTTAAATACTTAGACCTACATTGTAAATAATATTTTGAATTTCAGTGAGAATGATATTTGCGTAAAATAAAAATAGGCTTTTTCTTTATGCAAGCAATAAATGAACATTTTAATTTAATATATTTAATTAATTGAATCTTTTTACATTTTTGAGATATAGGCATATCCAAACATTCTTATTTGTTGATGCCCTCACATTTAAACAATTAAGCTCTGCCTTCTCCCCATTATCCGCACCACGATGACCAATCTGTTACTTCACCATGATGATCTAACTGTCCAGATTAATCAGACGTTATAGGAAACAAGTACGGGGTGCATTAGTGACTAAGGTGTGCAATTTTCTCGGGATAGCCGAAGATACGGAGCTTTCCCGCTAGATTAGAACATTAATCACTCTCGCGCGACACACACACACACACACACTATGCCACTATGACAACAAACCAGAAGACTAACAGAATTTATCAAAGCAACGTAACATGCACGTCATTCTGAAGATTCTTAAATGGTTTGGGCATGTTTTCAGGCCCATAATACTTTAAAACACATTGACCATGTGTTTACAAAGTGTCCTAATGACAATGAATGTTATTTTTTACAGGTGTTATTGGGTTGGCACTGGCAGCCGGAAAAAATTAGGCTATTACTGAAATAGGGGATTGAGTTAAAAGTAGCTAATATAAAAATATGCAATAGAAATATGCACACATGTCCACAGACAAAGTTGTAGGCCTACGTCTTTGTGTACAAATAAAGAACTGTAACTAAACACTGAAACAGTTTTTTCGTTGTTAAAATATTTGCCATGTTTACTATTTTCAATTAAAATGAAAAATACAGTTACAGACGTTGAAACCAACTCGCTGTCTCTCACCTATAGCCTATGTAAAAACACCAGACACTATACGTGAACCTTCTTTTCGGACAGTCGGGACTGCTTCTGTTGCTTGCAGCTATAATCTATCCGATAATCTCGACCAGGAAAGAGCAAACCGACGGTTAGTTGAGAACAGTTTGTGACAAGGCCTGTAACTTATTAACTCAGTAGTTGTTGTGGTCATTTGTTGACAGTAGCTTTATAAGTAACCGATTGCTGCTACTTTATTTCAAGTACGCGACTCTAATTACACGCTGATTAATTATTGACACTATACACAACACATGAGATTCGCCCTGTGTGCGAGGTAACTTGACATAATAACGTGATGTCTTATTAACTTAATTATTGACTAATGCAATTAATCAATATCTAGAAAGCCTAAATAAATCAATAATTAAATTGATAGCGCGCAACTGTAACTATATCGACAGTAGCCTAACAGATGGACAAAACATAACTCTTAACGGTCATCATCTGTTGTCAAAACAATTGTATAATTCCCTGATATCAGCCTGCATCTGCTCATAATTAACTCATACAAATAGGAATTGGGGAGCCAACATTTTTTGGGGGAAAATGCAACATATTTTGGGGGGCAAAAAATCTGCTAATAAAACGCCATTTTATAGCCTATCTTAACTGAAAATGCAAGTTCTTACCTCCAGGTAAGGCGAATAAAAGCAGAACTGTGCGTAGAAACCAAGCGTGATCCATTCTGTCTGCGAGTGTGCGTGTGTCCGTACATTAGTATGACTGATCCACAACTGACTGTGCGTCTTCAAGTGCCTCTCTCTTTCTCTCTCTCCCCCCTCACTCACTGTATGGCAAGCCATTTTAACATTTAATCCGTTAAAGTAGCCCTATCTATTTTTGTTACTAGTAGCTATATTTTTAATTGATTAATCCAATAGGCATTAGTGTATTATTTAGTTTCACTATTAACTCTTCACTGCTGTTAAGGGGGATAATCAGGAATGTTCCAACTTCACTTATAGGCCACATACACACAGTTAAATTTCAGGAGTGACAACCTCATTTAAATACAGGAGTGAATCCCGTCAATTATTGTTCTGTGTATGGGACTCACTCCCCAAATTGCATGATTGACAGCATGGTAAGCATTGCAAAGTTCTGGCGTCTCACCTATATTATATAGGTGTATATTACAGCGACCAAAGTAATCATTATGTTCTGCAATTTTAACTAAAGCCCTTTACTGCTGAGAGAATCATCGGTAAACTCTCCAAGAACTGTACTCATCCAGAGTGAGTAAAAGGGCTGGCAAAATCACTCTGGACCCCTCACATTTCTTGCACCGCACACATTCAGAAGAAACACACATTTCTGATGAACGTTTAAATACGTCATTAACAACTTTGTTCAGTTCACTTCCATATACACTGCGTAGAAGTTTTGTAAATGCGGTTGCCACTACCTGCATTTTTCGGGATTTCATTTGGTTGTAGAATGCTGCTGTCACTCCCGTTAATTACTGCACTGTGTGTGTACAGAACAGGGTTAAGTGATACTAAAAGGTGAACTGACAACTAGGGCTGTTTTCGACTAAGGATTTTCATAGTCGAATCTGATTCGTTAGATTTTGCCATAGTCGACTGATAGTCGAGGCTTTTTTTTTTTTTTTTTTTTTTAGATAGCAGCTAGACGTTCGGTTGAATAACTGTTCGTCTGTTATAGGACAACTCGCTCTACGTTTATTTAAAATGAACAGCAAGACAACTAGAAGTGAATGTGCTTTCCATTAAATGAATCCTTAACACACACAAAAAAAAACATTGCAATGAACGTGCTTTGTTTTAAATAAATCACACACAGTAAATAAAACCTTAACAACAAAACTTTGCAATGAACTTTGCACTTTAGACGCGCAAACTGCGTGCCGGTGCGGTGAGACGTATAGCCTACATGCTCGGGCAGATTCAGCTTGAAGTCGTTCATCCTCGGATGCGGCGTCGCGCGCGCTGTTACAAAAAAAGCTGTGCACACAGCCAAGCGAAATGGGGTCTTGCCGGGCTTGCGCACCCAACGCGTCATTTTTTTTGCCGTCCGCACCTTCGCGCTCGTGCGGACGCGTCGAGTATAAACAAGGCTTTACTCCGTGTCAGCGCGCGCTCTGATCGGTAGGTGCACAGACCTCTCCCGAATCATCTTCAGCAGTAGCAGCCTCCGATCGCACCACTAACTCCGCCTCCGTTTCCCTCGTAAGATGATATTAGTATTTAAACATTCTCTATGATAAAAAATTTTTGTAAAAAATATTTTAATAGCACGGTTTTGGCGGTTATAGAGTTCTAATGACGGTGTTCACCTATAACCGTCGGTCTCACGGTTATATAATAACGTCACACCCCTCATAACACTTGCCTACTATTCGACTATGAGGTTCATAGTCGAATCAGACCTCTCCGAATCGAATCGTCGAATCCTCGACTATTAGAAGTCAGCCCTACTGACAACCGAATTTTATCGGCAGTGTGTAAGTGGCCTTAAAACTTAATTCAAATTGTTGTTGTTTATTCCGATTTTACTCTTAACTATTCATTAGGTATACAGTTTCAGTTTTTCCATTCCTTATTATTCATCTATCATTCTTACTAGTAGTACTTCTTATATCACTAATTGCAAATGCTTTGTATTTGTCATATGTAGTCAGATTTGCAACTTTATAGCTATATTAAAATCTTAAAGGTACAATATGTGATAATTTTATATCAAAATATCCAAAAAACACTTGCACAGTGTTATATATTTCTTTTAATTGTGTACTTGCATTATCCTAAATGTTCCCAAGAATTTGTAAATTCAGAGAAATTCATCATTTTAAATAGTGCCCGTCCCTTGTCACTTGTCGCCTGTCAATGATAATCCGTGTGATCCCTGGTTTCTGCTTGTACTACCATAACCATGGTGACAGACATGGACAACTGCATTACGTCTAGCAGCACACTAACGCTGTTGTTGTTTCAGTCAAACATTACGGACCATCGCAAACAGACTTTTGGACAAAGGGAGAAATAAAACGAGGATCAATATCGGCGTGGCGTTTTCGAGATGCCGAGAGCTCCACGTCCACGACTAACTTTGACTTGACAGAGCTTCACGACTTGACAAGCGTCACTCTTGCATGTACTTTATCAGACAGGTGAGCATAATTTACATAAAACAAATCAATGTTATATAGCTCAACATGATGAAATGTTAGAATGTGATCCGTATGTCATTGTAATGTTGATCTAGCTAGTCTCATACAGCCAACAAACTGTAACACATTGAACAACATTATAACTTTCAACTCACACAAATGCAGTTTAGTATGATAGTGTAATGTTAGACCAAGGGAAACAGCGTTGCGTTACCTCACAAGTTTAATTCGTCAAATAAACTGACCTGTATGAGTAATTCAGCACTTGAACATAAACATTATTTCCCCTCAACATTATTAACGCTAAATCCATCGACATGATGACAAGTTCCATGATTCCACGCTCATTTACATCAATCTACGCCTTTGTTATTGTAAGAGGTTAGCGACCCCTTGAGGCGAAAAAATTACAGATTGTAGCTTTAATAATACTTAATGAATACTTAGTAAACCTGAATAGGTGCCAGTAACAGTTGTAATACATACTTTTCAGAAGTGAATAAGTGATATCTGATCTACAGAAACCATAGAAGTCAGTGGCAAAAAAAATTGATAATGTTAAACTGGCTTGCCATACTCTATCTCTCTCTGACTATGTTTCCCAGCTGCCAATATGAAGGTTGTTTTGACCAAAGGTTTTTGGTATACCGGTGCTGGACATCACCCAGTCCAGCTGACGTGTGCTTACAGGAAATCCAAACAGATTTTGAATTAGAACTGCCCTTGTTAAGAGGACAAATTGCAATTTTCATTATCTTAAGTGGAGGATTTTGGACGGTGTCACGTCTCTTGCTGCAGTTCAGCAGCTCAGTCATCTCTGTGTTGCGAGAGACCACTGACATGAATTTAAAACTTATTGCTCTGCCTGCCCTCTCATGCACATGTTAATCGATAGAGTTTAAAATGTTGCAGCTCTTCAATGATGACGTGCTGTCTGCTGCATCAGAAATCTTAACAGGACAGGAGTGTGCGCGCGCATGTGTGTTCATCGTAAACAGACACACGCATACTTTGTTTCTGATATTGTTTGTCTTCTAACACAATTATGGCAACCTGGTGGATATGTTGGCTTTTCAAACCTTCAAGTACTTTTGCTTTCTCATTTTATTGTGACAAACCTCCTACGACACCTGTAGGCTGATGCTTGTTATGCAGTGGGCATGTATGTTGTGTGAGTGTAGCTACTTTGTGTTTGATCAATTATTCATGAATCAAAGCAGGTTTTTGATACCGATAGGTCCTTACTCATCATCTGCAGGCTGTTTGTGAGAGATAGAGATGCTGACTCACTGGTCTTTCTTTTCAGAAGTGACTCATTCCTTCTTTTATGGACATATGATCACTTTGCCATTTTAAACAGAAACAGTGTCCTTTTATATTCTGTTTGTCCCCCCCCCCCCCAAAAAAAAATATAGATATAGATAGATAGATAGATAGATAGATAGATAGATAGATAGATAGATAGATAGATAGATAGATAGATAGATAGATAGATAGATAGATAGATAGATATAGATAGATAGATAGATAGATAGATAGATAGATAGATAGATAGATAGATAGATAGATAGATAGATAGATAGATAGATATATGATAGATAGATAGATAGATAGATAGATATATGATAGATAGATAGATAGATAGATATAGATAGATAGATAGATAGATAGATAGATAGATAGATAGATAGATAGATAGATAGATAGATAGATAGATAGATAGATAGATAGATAGATAGATAGATAGATAGATAGATAGATAGATAGATAGATAGATAGATAGATAGACTAGTTTTAAGCTCAAATGCTTTACTGCACCATTCTAGAATAAGATTTATCAGTATTAAAAAGGCCTTTTAGAACAACGCAGACTGAAATCGAGAGTAGTCTAATGGACTAAGATGCCAACCTAATGAAGTTTGTCCACTGGATTTTTGCTGACCGTACAGACAACCTCATCTACTCAACCAAGTGACCATTAGGGTCTTCAATCCATAATAGTATGATTGGTGTGTGGTAGGGTGGGTTTTGTGGTGCTTTTTAAGTGTTGCTGTATGTCTACACATTGAGAGTACTTTGCTTTTGTGGACCATTTTAACTTTGTCCTTTTTAATATTGTATAAGTGCATACCCTAAACTGACATGAGCCTGACAAAAAGGAATAGGTCAGTCCATATACCCATATGGATATAAAAACCCATGTATGACTTTCTTTTGTGTATGAAAGCTGAACTATAAGCAAATAAGGAAATAATAAAAAATAGTTTTTGTTATCTGTTCTACTGGATTTTGTTTTTGTTGTATTTTGTTCACAGAGTGCAGTGGATTTGTTTTGTTTTGTTTTGTCCACAGAGTGCAGTGGATTTGTTTTGTTTTGTCTACAGAGTGCAGTGGATTTGTTTTGTTTTGTCTACAGAGTGAGTGGATTTGCTTTGTTTTGTTTTGTTTTGTCCATGGAATGCAGTAGATTTGTTTTGTCCACAGAGAACAGTGGATTTGTTTTGTTTTGTTCTACTGGATTTTTTGTTTTTGTTCTGTTTTGTTCACTGAGTAAAGTGATTCTTTTGGTTTTGTTTTGTCCATAGAGTGCAGTGGATTTGTGTGGTTTTGTCCAGAGAG